TGTGAACAACTATTTCATATTTAGTAACAAAGGAAGCAGAACAAATGTCACATTTATAGGGTTTCTCTCCAGTGTGTCTTCTTTTGTGTTCAGTTAAATGTGATTGTCTAGAAAAAGCAGCAGAACAAATGTCACATATAAATGGTTTTTCTCCAGTATGTCGTCTTTTGTGTTCAGTTAAACATAATCTTCTAGAAAAAGCAGCAGAACAAATGTCACATTTAAAGGGTTTCTCTCCAGTATGTTTCCTGGTGTGAATAACTATTTCAGATTTACTAACAAAGGAAGCAGGGCAAATGTCACATTTATAGGGTTTCTCTCCTCTATGTCTTCTTTTGTGTTCAGTTAAATGTGATCTAGTTACAAAAGCAGCAGAACAAACGTCACATTTAAAAAATTTGAAGGGTTTCTCTCCAGTATGGTTTCTTTTGTGACTAGTTATTTCAGATTTAGTAACAAAGGAAGCAGAACAAATGTCACATTGATAAGGTTTCTCTCCAGTATGCCTTCTTATGTGCACATTTAAATGTGATTTATTAGCAAATGCAGTAGAACAAATGTCACATTTAAAGGGTTTCTCTCCAGTATGTGTTTTAGTGTGATGAGCTTTTTCAGATTTAGTAACAAAGGAAGCAGGACAAATGTCACATATAAATGGTTTTTCTCCAGTATGTCTTCTCTTGTGTTCAGTTAAACATAATCTCCTAGAAAAAGCAGCAGAACAAATGTCACATTTAAATGGTTTCTCTCCAGTATGTTTTCTTTTGTGACTAGCTATTTCAGATTTAGTAACAAAGGAAGCAGAACACATATCACATTTATAAGGTTTCTCTCCTGTATGTCTTCTTTTGTGCACACTTAAATTTGATCTATTTGCAAATGCAGCAGAACAAATATCACATATGTATGCCCTTGCTGCTGATTGTAAGGATTCCAGGTTTGATGAAGAAATCAAATTTTGAACAAGTTGCATATTTTCCTGTAGTGTTTCCTCTGTTTGCTTCTCTTGACAACAGCCCAGTTGATCTGCTGTAACTGTCAACGTTTCTGAGATATTTCTTGAAACACATAAAGTGCACAATTTTAAATGTGCCCTTGTTTCAAAATCCTGATCTCCACAAAATCCTGCCTCCAGTTTCATGTCCGTGTGAATCAAACGGTCAGAACCTGTAGCTTGGCTTGGGTTAACATCATTATCTATTTCTTTCTTGAGGAGTTTATTGAAGTCAATTTCTGTCTCTGTCTTTGGTGTGACATCTTCCTTTTTTATTTGGCTGGCAATAAATTTAAAAACAACTGCCTCCATGATTAAGATCTGGAGGGGAAAAAAAAAGTGTGAAAGCTTTGAAATCTGATCTGTATGTATACCTTTGTTCTATTCATAAATGTCAGTGAAATACGATTAGCATTCTTGATCAATTTAAAATATTTTTTTTAAAAAGTAAGAAAACAAATAAATTGAAAAATATGTGCATTAGAAAAAAAAAACACTTTTAATTAATCACACTCATTTTCTTACAATGGTTATAATCAATCTGTACTTCTCATTCCGTCACTAATTACATTATGTTTTATGTTTTAAATAGATGAAATTGAAATTAATGTACTTTGTTAACGTACCCAGTACTTAAATATTGCTTTGTGAGGCCTTACATGAAACAAAATAAATAGTTTTGCAACAAAATCACAAGACGTAAAAATAGAGCAAGAAATTTAATTCCTAAAATTTCCTTGACCTCACTCATGGCATGGTAACCATGTCTCATTTTGCTGGAAATTTGATTGCAATATCACTGTGTCAGGAGTGTATTGTGATCAGCGTTACTATTGTTTAGTATAATTCAGTTTGTTAGTTAATATATAAAAACAAGTAATTCAAGCAACAGTTCCTTTCATCTTTGAGATTACTATTTATCAATGTTTTCTCCTACTCCAGCAAATTAAGTTCACTTTGTTTTTATTTACTGTGACACAATGACTTGTATATGCATGCCATTTCACTTAGTTATTCCCCTTAATTATTAGCATAACTAGGGTTAGTGCCACCTTGAGCTATCTAAGACAGATCTTGACGCCTCCCCTCCTCCCTCATAATTAGGTACTTTGACAGAAGTTTTAGATATGGTCCTCCTATTGCCATAAATAATATATCATTATTAAGGGCTAGCTATAAGCTTCACAAATACACCAATTCCATCTTTTTATCTTTTATAGAAATTTAATAATGAATTTTTTAAACCCTTTATTTAACTTTGTATTAAACTGTGAAAACTTGTGACCAACTTTCCAAATTTCTACCCTTATTTTGCCCGCAGCTTTTTTATTTGAAAGACAATGCTAACAAATTTTCAGGAGACATTCTCAATGCAATAAACAATACAACAAACAACAAAACTCTTTTGTAACATCAAGATTTTGTATTTTTGGATAATTTCATCTGAGGGTATGTTTAGGAAAATATGAACGGAAAAATTATTATTTATAATGGAAAAAAAATAATAATAAAATGTTTATTGTATTTTAATTAATTATATGCTTCAGTTAAATTTCAAATCGGTTCTTATAATTATAAAATGTAAGTAGAAGTCTCTTTAAAAAATAAAATTGAATGTATATTAAAGTTTTTTGTTTAGTAAAACTTATTTCTTTTATTCTAATAGAAATATTTTATATATATTTTGCCTCTGGTGTGACTGCTTACTTTTTACAACTGGCCCTACCCCTACTCAACATGTTTTATATTAATAGTACCAAGTCACACTGAGTGGGAAAAAAAAAAGGTATCAAGCAGTAGGTTATAAATAGTTATAAAAACTGTGCAATAGAGCGCAAAAAGCGAGTACACCATAGAGCTGATGTAAAATGGCCACTTAAGTTTTTAGGTCATTTTTCGACATGCGCAGAATGTCTTTGTGTGGGTTTTGTTTTGGGTTTTTTTCCCTAGTATAAGTAAAATGGTTATCCTAATACTAATAAATTAGAAATACAACTGGAACAATTAATTTTTATAACTAGGCTAAGGTAATCAGAAATAATAAGCATTTGAATTTGATCAGGTCCAGGTGGTTTGTTTTTTAAGTTGACTTCTTTTTTTTTCCCAAATAAAAGAATATGAACACTTTTTGGCCATTGAATAATAATAGTATTGATAGACTGGGTTCCAAAATAATTTTAAAGTTTGGCTATTATTTAAATTACAAAACAACAAATATAATTTTTAACCTTCTCGCTACTGATGACATCGACGCGATGTCCCGATTGCTCACTTTCATTCAATTACCAAAGATGTCACATTGTCGTCATAACAAAGAGGCAAAGAACTTGTCTGAAATACCAAGGACGTCACGTCCTTGTCTTATTTCAAAATAAATAATTCTACATTGAATCTTGAAAAGTGATGTAATTACCAGAAAATTAAACATGTATATGAATTGAAATGTAATAAACAATAGAAGAACTAGAACTAAACTTCTGACTAAACCTAATATTTTAATATTTTCCTTATCATTTATAAAATTTATTCTTAAATTCTCTGTGTTCGTCAGTTTTTAATTTTCTTGCCAATTTAAATAATTTTAAAAATAATTTTGTATCAAGCCACATTAGATACTCCTATTCAATATTCATTTTAGCAGCCTTGCCTTAGTGAAAACTTAGTTACTAAAAGCTTATTTGACAAGCTTTGTCATGCCAATGTCATGCCATGGCCCATGGATGCCGCCGCATAGTATGATGCGGCATATCAGTAGTAGTAGTAGTAGTAGTATCAATCAAGTTTATCAAGAGTGGCAATAAAAGCAATCCCATATCATGCCATATGCCATATTCATGTCATATGATATCAATTCAATATAATATCATAATATCACTATTATTACTAAATAATTACTATCATAAATTATTATATTATAAGTTTACAAGAACAAGCTACACATTTAATTAATAATTACAAATTACAGAAAAGTACATCTTAATTTTGCTTTTGAACAAGAGTAGTTTGCCCATGGACGAGTATTAAAAAAGTTTAAACTGTCTCCAGCCCATAGTATTGTGACCTATGAAACAAATCTTTTACCCCCCTATTTTTCGTCTTCGTTTGTTAATATTTTATCCCACCTCTCTAATTATTTCATCTCCACCCCAGACTTGAAATTACTTCGGTTTAGTTTAGCAATTTATTTCCCAGTTGTTTGAAATTGTGGTTTTTAACAGTGTGTCTTTCAGAAAATATTCTTCCAGAAAATATGTCATATGTTCCTGGGGGATTTTCAGAGGTATGGGCATGGGTGGGCAGTGTCAGTGGCTCAGGAAGTGGGGATGGAGGAGGTGGTTCACCCCGAGGCTTTTTTTTTAAATAGTTTGATTTTATTTATGAATATTAAAATTTAAGATACCATGTATGTACATTAGGATATGTCGTCAGCAAGCCGCAGAGCTTGCGCTGTTAATGCCCTAACCCAGTGGTCAGCAAACTCATTAGTCAAAAGAAAAGGCCCAAATCAGCAGCAGGACGATTTAAAAAAAATTTGAGAGCCAAATTTCTTTTCGGGCCACTAACGAGATGCTGGCGAAATTTGTGTCCTCTTGAAGTTGATCATTTTATTTTACTGCCCACGGATACTACGTCCAAGCTAAGACTTAGGCTAAGGGATATTTCTTATTTTTATACCGTTTTTTCTGTTGTTTTGTTCGCTGGCGAAGGCTTTCTGCCGACACGTTCGTTGTTTTGTTGCGTTTCTTTTTTCAGGTTTAACCCTAATCTGTTTTGTTTATTCTACATTGAAATTGATCATCTTGATATGTATGATATGCATTTTTTCATATGGCAGATCATTTAGTTTAACACAACACAAATAAATATTTTAATATATATATATTATGCGAAAGAGATTAGTTGAGATTTAACTTTAAAATGGCCGAGCACTTTTAATATTTTTTTTTGCACACGGCTCTAACTCCTGTTATCAACAAACAAAATATATCTATATTTAGAAACCACGTGAAAACCTGTTAGTTTTAATTTTGTATAGTTTTAATTTACATCCTTACCTTCTTAACGCCAAGAGTCTACTGAATTATTATGAGCTGATAGAACGTTGAAGCTTAAGTCATCACTTCATCAAGTTTTTAAGAAGTTGGACATTTTAAACATTTTCGTAAAATATTTTTCGGAACTGGTTCAGGTCCACGACACCGCAGGACGGTTTCTCGGATGATATTTTACTTGTCCTAATTTTACTGAAGCTAGACGGTGAGGAGATTCTTATTTTTTATTAGTATTAGTATTAGTAAGTATGTATTAGTAATTACTAACTTTTACTAAGTCATTAGTATTCAGTAGTAGTAGTAGGGCAGTCTATATTTTTTTTTTAAAGTTGAAATGCTTGTACTTGTGTTTTCTTAATTTACTAAATTTAGTATTTAGCCCCTACATTTGGCCTAATGCCTAGTCACTAATGATAGTGATACTTCTGATAGTGATACCGAGGTAGCCATTGATTAATAAAAAAAATGCCATCAGCATAGAATCATAGACTTCTGAAATATATATAATAGAAATTTTAAACATTGAATCATTGCCTTTGACAATTGACAAAATTGTTAAAAATGGACTCAGACTGTCATTCATATAAATATTAGAGTTCTAATTAATAAATAATTAGTTAATTAGCCAAATGAAAATTTTTTGTGTTGGCCTAAATAAATGTTACTCTAAAACTAAAATTAGTAAAAAAGGCAACAAAAAAAAATTAGAATAAATGTAATCGTGAGTAGCTCTCAGTTACTAATAAGTCAAATTAAAACAGGTGCGGGGCAATGCCCCAATGGTCAATTTTCATTAATTTAGGCCTCTGTGTCATGTGCAGGGGCGTAGCGATGGGGGGGGGGCAGGGGGGTGACAGATGTCCCCAGGCGCAAGCCAGTTAGGGGCGCCAAAATGTGATTTGATAATATATTATTGGTAAAAATAATGGGTTTGAGAGTTGAAAAAAAGAAAAGGGGACGCTTTAAAATTGATCTTGTCCCCAGGGCACGAATCTTGTCCCCGGGCGCCAAACACCCTCGCTACGCCTCTGTCACTGCGTGGTGTAACTTTTAACTAGTGTGGTAGAGGTGTAAGCCAGTGACTGTGCCGGGTAATGTCGTGGATGTGGTGACAGAGTGTAGTCACATGCAGTGGTGTAGCTAGAGGGGTGCGGAACGCACAGGGTGACACCATCTCAGGGGTGAAACCAAATTAAAATTTTGCATGTTTACAGAGCACATACTGCTCAGTCTAACCGAATTTCATAAAAGTAAAAGGATAACCAATCACACGTTAATTTTCCACACGTCACATGTGACCAATCTAAATGTGTGCTTTGTTCAAGTTTGAAATGAGGTGACCCTATAATTTATAATTAGGTCAGAAAAACACAGTTTTAATCATGATTCAACAGCGATTGAAGTGTTCTAAGTACATGAATAAGTAAAAATTAAAATCATTAAAACATGACTTTTTACCCATTGATAGGCTTAACGAAATAATATTTTTCCAAATTTTTAAATATATTTTAATAATTAATTAAAATAAATTTAAATTTTGTTAAAAAAGGTATTTGAAACCAAATATATCAAAACCCAGAAATACTCAATAATAAATATCTTCACTGATTCATCACTAGCACCGCCCCTTAACATTTGAGCACAATTTTCATCATACAGCACAAGGTCTTTTACATGTTGTCTGTTATTTCATGTTTATCTGCTACCTTTATCTTTGGGCTGATCTACTTGAGCAAGTTAATCTTGCACATCAGCATCTGCATACTAAAGGCTTTACTCTTTACAAAGTGTTGAAGAACCTAGATGCCTTAAGATTGTTTCTGCACAAGAAGCGCTGTCTCTTGGTGGAACATGCTATTGAAATGGCACTTTTAAAATCATACCAATGTGGTATTTCGATGGAGAGAAGATTAAGGTATAAAAAGAGGATTGCAGGAGAACTATTTACGATCCACCATGGGACAGTCATGGCTTTCTGATCTGGCTCTACTATCAATTGAAGGTGATATTGTGAAGGATATTGATTTTGATCAAGTGATTAACAGGTATGCAACTTTAAAGACCTGGAAAAGAACATTTTAAATAAAGTAAATTCAATGTAAAAATAAATATAACATAACGCTGTTACAGTTCTTAAATACATTTAAGATAAAATAAGATTCTTTTATTGATCCAAACAAATGGAAATGTTTTTGATTCCATTGCACATTTTCAGCACATTATTAAAACAATTTAAATGTAAGAATCAACATTAAATTATTTCACCAGTGAAAAAAAACAGCCATTCAGTGAATTCTCTTAGCAATATCAGGGACTTATTAATTCTCATTAAGATTTGTGACTTCAGAGGGAGCATACTGGTAAATTCTTACAGATTGGGGAACAAAGAATTTTTATATCTTTCAGTCCTTTCAGAGAGAAAGAATTCGTCTCAATCAGGCGGATCCTAAGTATCAGTGATGAAGAGGGTGTGATGTATCATCCAAAATTTGTTTAAACCTGCAGTTAATTTATTTTTGTTCTTTTCATTGTTATACTGTTGACTTATTTTACTTAATTACTTGTGCTTTTTACCCCATCTGGGACATAGGCAGACTAGAAGACTTTTCCATTCATCTCAGTCATTTGCTTTCTTTTCCAGTAATGTTGTTTCCAGGTGTATCCCATAATTTGTGTGTCTGCCTCTAGCTCAAATCCCCGTGTATTCTTAGGCTTTCCTCTCTTTCTTTTTCCCTGTGGATTCCATGTTAGGGATTGTCTGGTGATGCTATCTGTGGTTTTTCGGATAGTGTGGCTTTTTACCTCCATCTTTTCCTAATGATGCCATCATCAAAATTGGCTTCTGGTATGTTCTTTACAGTAAGTCTTTGTTGGTTATCGTATTTGGCCATTTGATGTCTAGGATCTTTTTAAGGCAAGTGTTTTGAAGGTCTGTACTGTCTGCGAAATGCTCGCTGTTGTTCAAGTTTCGGCTCCATAGAGTAGGACTTTTTTGAAATTTATGTTGAAAATTCTGACTTTGGTTTGAAGAGTCAGCTCCTTTCACTCCAATATTTCGTTCATTAATAGCACAAATCGTGACCTAGCCTTTCTAATTTTAGCCCTGACATCCGCTTCGGATCCATCATTTATGTCCATGGTGCTGCCTTAGTATGTGAAGGCCTCCACTTATTCCAGTGCATTTCTTGCCAGAGAGGTATGCTCTTGGTTGGCTGAGTTTACCTTCATGATCTTTGTATTTTTTTTAAATTTATACAGACTCCAAACTGTGCTGAAATGGTGGCTACATATTTAGTCTTTTCCTACATTTGTTGTTAGTTTTGGGACAGAAGTGTAATGTCAGAGGTTATTCACTGTATCCAGTTCCTTTTTTTGTCTGTGAATTTTTTTTATTATTCAGTCGATGGCAAGGATGATTAGGAAGGGGGACAAGAGACATCCTAGTCTGACTCCTGTTTTCACTTTAACGGCATCTGTGAGTCCATCTTCATGTACCAGCCTGAATGCCATTTCTTCTAAAGAGCTCTGAATGATCCTGATTAGTTTTCCTGGTACCCATCTGTGTATAATCTGTTTTAGTGGAAGCCAGTATGTTGATCTCTTAGCTACTTAGCTACAAGTCGACCTGGTCCTTCAGTTAATTTGTTTTTGTTCGTGTCATTGTTATACCGTGGACTTATTTTACCAAGAAGAAATTCATTGTTGAAGTCGGGGGGAGTGGGTGACACCATGAGTTTACAGCACCAGCTGACACCAACCTTAGCTACACCAATGGTCACATGGCTGTCATGACATTAATATAGCCTACATAATACATATTTTTACGGTATTATATATGTGTGTTTGGGGGAAAAAGGCATACCCATTCCCAGAACGAATAGAGGAAGTAATTTTGATTTAGGCCTAAATTCAATTAAATCTTACCCAAAGCACTAGTATTGATAGCCTCTAACTCTAATTATGAATTAAATATTCATGTTTAAAACTAGAAGATGACGGCTTAGGCCTATGTTAATGTTAGTACTCAAATAACTTACCAAGTCAAGTTAAATCTTGAAGAAAAAAAAATTAATAGCGGTAATAGGTTTATTTCCATAGAATATTTATTTTTATAATATGAAAATGCAAGCATTTTTGTTGGCATGACATTATTTGTAATTGTAATAATACCATAGTTGTTATAATTTAATTACAGGTATAATGGGCCTATATTTATTTTAATATTTACATTTTAGCTACAAAAATGACATAATGAATCTATGTCACTAGTCACTAAGAAATATGTGTGCCATTATCATGACCATTAAGGATAATTTTGGTGCTCTTTAAAATAATTGAAGCAGCTTAATGTTTTATTATCAGTTTGCTGACTTCTAATGCTATCTCAATGTCATAATGATAACAAAAAAGTTTTCAATTCTAATTGTGGTTTCATGAATCACATCATATTTATCTTGGAAAAATGCCCAATGCATGGACTATTTTATGGTGGAATATACTGTCAAGTACTATAAATGTTTAGTCTGGACTAGTAATCCTTTGCCAGATTTGTTCAGATATCTTCTTTTCCTGCATCCTTGCCTGTTTGTTCAAGCACATTAATAATTTTTTTGTTTCTACTTTCAGTTCATATTGCAACTGATGGAGCCTGTGATAGCTAAGGTTATTACTTTAGTTGTTCTCATCTTTTTGACACTATTGTCCAGTGTGTTACCTTATTTTCTAGTATTACGGGGTTCACATTCATTAGTGTCTGCAAGGAGACGGGACAAGATTGTAGGATATTTAAACTGTTTTGCAGGTGGTGTTTTTCTGGGAACACTGCTACTACACTTACTTACTGAAGGTTCCGAAGAATTTGAGAACTACAAAAAATATGCCAACCTTGATCTCCAATTACCCCTATTCAACATATTTGTTGCTGCTGGATTCTTTTTAGTGGCTTACATTGAGATTTTTATGCGGAACTGTCTCTACACCGAAGTTCCTGTCGTAACAAATGTGGAGATTGATGTACCTGATGCGTCAGTGGTGTCCAATGGTTATCCTCGGCGAGACTATGGTTCTCTCAGGACATCCCCACCTGTTACAGAACATCAGGAGCATCATCATGGAGATCATCAACATTCTGAAGATGTCACCCAAAGATTAATGAAATCTGAGCATCCTAATCATCCGGCCAGTGGTACAGTGAATGCCGGCAGCACTGAACAGGCTTTAAATGCAAGCCTAGACGCAGACACAAGAGCAGTATCAACACCTACTGGCATTAGAGCTTTTCTCCTGCTTGTTGCGTTATCATTCCACACAATATTTGATGGTCTCGCCGTGGGGCTACAGCACTCTGCATCTGGGATATGGCAGGTATTTGCTGCTATTTCTATACACAAGACTATCATCGCTTTCTGCCTGGGGCTCGAAATATTTAAAAGTGAACCCAACAGACCTGTCCGTGCATTCCTTTGGCTGTGTTTCTTCTCCCTTATGTCTCCAATGGGGATTGGTCTTGGTATTTTCCTAACTGCAGGAGGTGTCAATGATGGTGCAAGATTGCTGTCATCCAGTATACTTCAAGGACTGGCTTCGGGAACCTTCTTGTATGTGACTTTCCTGGAGCTATTGTGTGTTTATATTGGACACAACAGCAAAGGAGAGTTCCTCTCTCTATTCTTTTCAATGACTGGATTTGTTTTGATGACATTGGTGAAGTTGTTAGATCATGACTGACTGTGATCCTTAGACATACAAAGCTTTGCAGTATTATTAATAATTCATGTCATTGTACTTTTAAAAAAAAAAGCAATTTCTTTTTTTTTATAAAGAATTTTTTAAAACAATTTTTTTCTTTTCTAAGAGTATGTTCTTCTGCTAGGTCAAATTGAGTAATATAAAAAGCAGTGGTTGTGCCAATTAAAAAAAAACCTTTAACCTTGGCACCTATGTTTTAAAAAATAATAAGTCATGAAGAAGTGGAAGGAAATTTTCATGTGCTATATTTTAAAGTTTTTTCTTTATAATATTATAATCGTGTTCATTATTTTATTTAACGATTGCCATTTTTTAAAAATATGATTAAGAAATAAGACTTATATAATAGGAACTTATAGCTATAACAGACATTTTTAAATTTAAAAGCCCATTTCATATTATTTTTATCATTTCTATTAGACATCACTGTAGCATAATTAAGAGAAAGTTGATAACTTTTTAGACCAGATGTCCCCTTCATATAAATAAGACCAGACATCTCCAACCTATGATGCTGAAAAGCTATCATTAAATGATCAAAATTTACAAGTTCATTCCCTATGAGACACGTCAGTGAGGGCTACTTTCAAATACTCTACTAAGTTCAAATATGTTATCAACTTTGTTTATGTGAATACTATTTATCCCTGACTCATTTGAAAAAACATTATCTACATACAGACAAGTTGAGCTGAACTCAGTTCACACATACAGATAAGTTGAGCTGAACTCAGTTCACACATACAGATAAGTTGAGCTGAACTCAGTTCACACATACAGATAAGTTGAGCTGAACTCAGTTCACACATACAGACAAGTTGAGCTGAACTCAGTTCACACATACAGATAAGTTGAGCTGAACTCAGTTCACACATACAGATAAGTTGAGCTGAACTCAGTTCAGATGAACGTTATCATTTCTAGACTAGAAGTGTACAATTTCCTAGGCCATTTTATCTGTGAATTCTTCAAATCTCTAAATGTATTTTCAATCACGACTTTTAAATGTTAAATGTAAAATCTTATCTGCAATAATTAAATGATGTCACATATGTATGTATGGCATCTTTCCGTCTGCGGGAGACGATAGATTATCTTTATTGCTTGCAGCTCTTGGTGTGGCTGGTGAGACCTACAGAATCATATATTAACAAAATCTTCAAAAAATCTCCAATTAACATAACAGACATGTGAATTACATAGCTGTTTACTCTGTGAGTGAATGTATTGTATTTTAACCTATGAGACAAGTCATTTTAACACACTGTTGGATAAAGACTGGATTTTAAAAATTCCTTTTAATTAACAATTAATTTGTTTTATCAGAAAGTATTTTAGTTCCTTATTTCTAATCAAATTCTAATTTTTGTTTCAAAGTTCTATGAACTGAACCATAGAGGGATAGTTCTTTTGTGAACTGGTCAATATTTGATTCCTGTAAATGTAAACTTGTGAAAGTCTAATTTAGGTGAACTTGTCAAAGTTTGATTTATGTGAACTTGTCAATGTTTGAGTTATGTGAACTTGTCAATGTTTGATTTATGTAAACTTGACAATGTTTGATTTATGTGAACTGGTCATTCAATTGTTTGCGGATACATTTAAAATAGCCAATTTTTTTCAAAAGACACAGATATTTAAAATTTAAAGATTTTTTTTTTTAAAGTTTCTCTAATTCATAATCATGTTATTGTCAAATTTAATTAATAAATAAATTAGATAATAAATTTTAAACTAAGTAAATAATTCAGAATATGTTCAGCAATCATAATGACTGGTTTTGAAATCATTTAGATTTGCAGGAACATTTAAAATAAATTAATTAACACCTATGCCTATATTGATGCTTGGGGAGGCTATTCCCCTCCTGGCAATTCTTTAGTTTATGACAAATATATTTCTTTTTATTTCAAGGCTGGCGGGGGCTGCTACCATAAGCACCACAGCTTTTATGTATAAAAATTGTCCAGGTCCAGGACAATTATTATGTAAACACAAATATTTGATAAGTTTAGATGAGAGGTGTACATTGTAGATTGTGGATAGAGACAAGAATGTGTACAGAATACTTCCAAGTCTTTCATTTTATACTTGATGTATTTTATATAATTAATTAATTCAACTATGGAAACTATTGTGTATAGTGTTTGTTGTGGTGAGGCTCTGATATTAAACAAGATGGTTGTCCTAAACAACTGAGAAATCAAATTTATTTAGCTTTTTTTCTTCCTCTTTCTGATCTGTAAATGTTTATTTTGGCATAATAGGCTCATTGACTGTTATCTGTATCTGTGCATTAAGTGTCCAACGCAATCTGATGTACCATTTTATCCTCCAACACATCAGATTTACCATTTTAAGAATGTAAAATCTAGGTGCAACATTCTAATGTGCCTCCATAAGTAGTTTCCATTATCCATTGTCACTAATGGTCATATAAAAAGTCAAAGTTGTCTACTAAAAAAACAACTTTTAACCATTTAATAACTTTCCTTGCGAGATACTGCATCCAAAAATTTGCTACTGCACAAATTTTGTTGGCAAGAGCGTAAATAAATTACCAAGTGGGCAACAGATTTTTTTTTTTTTAAATTTCTCACGCGTTTTTAAAAACAAATAATAAAAGATTTTACTCTAAGTTAGAATTAGAATGTATTTCTTGAACAAATAAATACATGTATGGTATGTTTTTAATTTGTTGACTAATTCAGTTTTGGTCAAATGACAACAAGCAATTCTGTAACAAAGCAGCTCCAAGTGATAAAGAAAGACATACATAATAACTAGCACAGGCTACCTTCATCATCCATGGGCAGGGGCTGCGCTGGGATGCATCCATTTTCAGACAAATGATGAGCAGTTGTGCCTCTGGGGAATTTCCGATGGAACACAAACAAACACACGCCATCTCAATAAACCTTTTCACATCCCAAACACTTTCGTTGGACCACCTGGATCCAGGTATTTCCCATGACCCGAAAAGTATTTCTTCCACCCTAAACAATCTTAGGAACACGTCGATCAAAAATATTTTAAAACATCTCCTTCATAACTACCGACATCTCACCACTTAGGACAAACAATATCTCAATTACAATAACAATATGTTTAAATTTAACTATTACATGGAAGGAAGGCACTCAAACAGGTATAAATACATTTTATTATCAAGGCAACCTTTTGATCATATTTGCTTAGGAAGAGTTGCTTATATTTTTGTTTACACTTTTCATAACGACTCAATATTAAATTAAAGAATGAAAGCAAAGAAAATTGTTCAAACAATAAAATTAAAATAGAATTTAAAAACACAGACATTAATTAAAATGAGCAGGGCAGAACTGCAAAAAGCTTGTATTTGGACAACAAAAATGTGACCTTAAGGCTCATAATTTTGAAGAGAAGATAATTGAGTCTGTTTTTACAGATTGAAACCAAACAAAATGTTTTTATAAATAGGGATACTTATAATAATTTAGGATTATTTCAAAAGAACTGATTTGTGGAAGTAATTTTTGAAAAACAAAATAAAAACATCAAACACAAAGCAAATAATTGGGAAATTGAGAAAACTAGCAATAATTTTTTCCCACAAAAGGCACATTAGGATTACCCATTCAACTTAATTATCAACAGTTTACTGAGAAATAAGTTGTCTAATCTTGGCCATCGATCAAGCCTACAAATAATACAGGTTGTGTTTAGTTGTATCAGTCGCCCACTGAGTTGTCTCATCTAAACCAGACCATCGAGCAGGCGTATAATGTGCAGTACAATAGGAACTTTTGACTGGCACTGGCTATCAATGCATGCCTGTGGAGATGCAAGCAGTGAATGTGTTTTATTTCACTAGAGTCTTATGCTAAGCAACATTTAAAACCGTGAGCTACATGATACGCAATATTTTAAAACTAGGAACCATATTGGTTCAGCAAATTGACCAGAAAATATTAAATAATGGACATTATTGATTACTGATATTACATACCTGCCTAACAGCTTCCAATAAATCATCCAATTTTTTTACTTCGGCTTCTGCTTTTTGCCAGTTAGATTCGAGAATTTTCATCTGTAATTACAAAATAAATTTCAATTATTTTTATTTGATTCCATTAAATAACGGTCAAGTTTGAAAAACTGTACAAGTGGTACCAGGTATTAATACTTTAAGTAATCCTTAATGCAGGTCATGAGTCATAGTCTCTTAATGCCACCACTTTAAAATTCAATTTTAGTTAAAATTTATTGTCAGCCCAAAGACTTGTTGAACTTGACTTCAAATTTGAATTGGACTGTAACTTCACATCTCCTTCCAACTATTGGAGACACAAGTTTAAATCCTCCAATTCAATTAAAAAACAGTGATGTACAATTTTCACACTTTTTAACGCTGTTTGTGAAATGTGAAAGACCAAGTGTGAATATATGACCCTTCTCATGGCCTATTCCCCTTTACTCTCTTATGGCTCATCTCCTTACCCTTCTCATGGCTTTCTCTCCTAGTTCTTGGTTCTTTTCTCTCTCCATAAACAACTTCATTATGCCTTCATGATTCTGTGAACATGAAAAAAATTTGGTTTGATCAAGGGCAATACAAAAAATGAATATTACATTGTGAAAAAAATTAATAATAAGCTGATTTGTTGAATGACTGACCTTCTTCTTTAAAGAAAGAATTTCTCTGGCCGATATGATATCAGGCTCTCTTGAATAGCTGAGCTTTTTGGTAAAGTCATCTAACTGTTCTGTCAAGAGTGCAACCTGACCCCTGAGATCCTCCACTCGATACTGGAGCTCTTTCTTGTCCTCCTCAAGTCTCTGAACCAAAAATTGATTTTTTTAAAAAATATCCTTTGATTTGGAGGACAACCCCACCCCCTCTCTTTTTAAAAATTGTTAATTCTTGCATTTTAATTATATCAATATCACACAATTACAAAAAATTGGCACCAACAATATTAATTTAACTCAAACTCGTTTGAAGTTTTTTGAGATGACTGAAGATTTCAATGATCATAACATTAACCATTGTAAGACCCAACTCTATTAAAGATGGGCTGTGAGCGGTACAAAATAATTTTTTGAGGTTATGCAAACTGCTTCATTTTTCATTCTCTTCTTTATGAATCCCAAGGGTAACATTTTACAATAAAAAGTGGTGCATAATAGAATATAATTCATTTTCAATAACATCATCAGTCATACTTATCTGTGCATTTTTATGAATTCCTCTTTTCTTGTTTATTGTATGAATATCTGACTAAAATGTTTGCAGACATTGAACGCCCCATCCCCCAATGACAATCAACATTTAATTATAATAAAGAAGTCCAATTCTTAAAAGTTTACTTAATGTTTTTGTTTTTTTAATGTTTTTGTATAAAATTATGTGAAGTTGATAGAAAATTTAACTTAAAAAAAAATAAATTGCAAATTTACTCAAAAAACATTCATTGAAAAGACTAAATAAAAGTATACAACTTTTTCAGTGTGTAAGACATACTGACACTCTAGCTTTTTGTCACCCATGTACCAGTATATAAAACACAATCTAACCCTTATCAGACCTGTTTACACCGGAACTCGCAATAAAGCACAATATGGTCACAGAATAGTACTTTATCATCTCAAAATCGTACAATACCATATTGTAATAGTAAATTAACAAAGTATAATGTATACAATAACTATGTGCAAGGCAGACCTGTTTACCCTCAAACTCTAAAAATCGTACAATATCATCACAAAATCGTTTAATAAATTATCTTAATAGTAAAAAAAAAAAACATACAGTATATATAATGTATACATCTCAGAAATCGTACATTGTACGCCAAAATCGTAAGAGTAAACAGGTCTGTAAAGGTCACCTCTCACAGTAGATAAATGACGTTTATATATAGTGCATTATTTCAAATAAAAATGTGCCTGTTATTTGCTGATTTGATGGACGAAGATGTGGTGGGGAGCAGAAATTGAGAATACCCACTGAAGTCACCTGAACAAAAGTGCTGGAAGGTTTGGGGAGGAGGCTTAGCCCCCTTCCGAATTTTTTTTTATAAATTCAAAAAGCAGGGATGCACTTCTGCATATATCTGAACATAGTTTTGCATCATTCTACACTTAATCATATTGCTTGTGAAAAAATAAATACTTTTTATTTTAACAGTTAATAAAGAGTAAAATTGTTTATATGGGAAAATGGTGTGTACCATCCACACAAATGATGTATGTATAAATTGTGTGTTTAACCCACAACTTAAAATAATCACTATTTGGATGAAGAAATCAGTTCATTTGCGATAGATCTGGCTGGCCACGACATTTAACATGGAGGGTCGCCCACCCCTGCTTTAAGCCTAGGAGGCAGATTTATTTTCTGTTAACAAATTGGGGGTCTAAAACTACCGCAAGTTGTATTGGGAGAAGGGAAGAGAAGTAATGGAACATAACGGGTATTAAAATTGTGTAGCTGCTTGGTGACTTTTAAGAATAGATTTCAAATGCAGCTTACTATATCTTATAAAATATGTCAAAATCTAATCCTGCTGTGCGGAGCAGTTGAGAATGCATTTTAAAAGAATACGTAGTCTTAAAAATGGAGTGCCGATTCCAGGCCCATGATAACATTAAAATCATCCATGCAATGTGCATGTCCATCAATGTAGTCAAATTTGAATGCCAGATTGGACAATTTGGACATCCGTATGTAATGTACACAAAAAACCAACCACATTTTCATACTCCCTCCCGCACCCTGTCAACGTTAGTTGCAGTCAATATATTACATATATGCACTGAGGATGCTTATGACAGCATGGGGATAGAGGGGGGGTCCCCAGAATGTAACTAAATTTATCCATAAACTCTACAATAATGATCCTGACAGTCTCTAATACTTAAAAATCTGTTAAATTCATGATTTCTCATAAGGCCTACTAAGGCTATAAAAATATCAAGCAATGTTTCGCGGTTATCAGATAACTAATGCTTTGTATTTTCCTAAGTAACCTGCTAGATAAGGCTGTAGTAGTATTGAGCCTAGTGACAACCCACAATATTGGTGGGGGGGAAATGTTTTTTAACCGGTCTCTTCAAATTGCAATTCGGACCGGTCTCTGCATAGACTTGTAAAAGACTCTCAAAATCGTACATTGTACGCCAAAATCATAAAAGTAAACAGGTCTGCTGTATATTCTTGTCATACTTACTTTATTCTCTAACTTCTGGTCATGAAAGTTGAGGATAGACTCGTTCATGGCCTTGACCCTGGTACAGAGATCTTTAATTTCAGTGTTCTTAGAATTCAGCAAATGTGTCATCTTAGTCAGGTCTGACTCCAATTGTGTAATGTGGTTTTTCTGAAACTGCACTTTGTTTGATAGAACGTCCCTGTGAATTTATTGAACCTCAATAGAGACTAGCATTAAAGAAATAAGCATGTTCTGTATACTTCAATGAAATTTTAGGTGTTTAGACGTCATAAAGATCTAAATGATCCAATCTGATTTCATGCACAGAATAAAAATTAATAAGAATATAATAAGAAGTTAACATAGAATCTCACATCTCTGCCGTGAGGTCAGCGATGGTCAGCTTTGAAGTTCTTTCTGCTTTCTCTGTTAACTTCTCAATGTGATGGAACTTTCTGTCAACATTCTTGACCTAAACAAACAAAAAATCTACTCGGTAAGACTGCATGCTATTAAAATCTTGGTAACAGAAATATACAAATATTATTAAATATTTTAATGAATCCCATAATTGGAAAATAATACTGGAATAGTAAAAAAAAAAAAATACTGCAAGAAAAATGGCTGTTTTTGTGTTTGTTTTTTTAAGCTCTCAAATATTCTTGATTTTCTGCCATTTGTTTCTGTTTCTAACAAAACAGAGCATTTCCAGTTCTGAGCTTTGACCTACAATGACATTATTGAAATCTTCAAAAACAAAAGTTTTATTTTTGATTTAAATATATCTGTTATTATTGTATTGCCCGCTGAAGAAGTCATCCAGCTGAAACGTCCGTACAATTGTCATGTCTTTTATTGTCAAGCCTAAACATACCTCTTTCCACTATATGTTTTTTAAACTTTTTTCTCACTCTTTAGATAGCTTTACAATCTGGCTGGTTGTTAAATGAGGTTACATAGCAGTAATAACTTGTTATATATCATTGGATTCAGAATTGAATTATCTCTTATTTGATTACAATTATGAGATTACAGCCGTGGTTCTTAACCTTGTTGGAGGTACTGAACCCCACCAGTTTCATATGCGCATTCACCGAACCCTTCTTAATGGTTAAAATAAAATATGATGATTTTTTCCCCTGATTTTGTTTGGACCTCCGCCGAACCCCTGAGACTGACTCACCGAACCCGTGGTTAAGAAGCACTGGATTACAGTTAATTATGGTTTTGATGCATATCCACAATATCGAGTTTGAATGTGTTGAATTTTTACAAAAATATCAACATACCAAAAATAGGCAGAAGCAACAAAAATAAAATAAAAGTGGGGCATTATATGTCCTCATCCCCAACCGCAACTATTTAAAATATGTCAAAGAACCTTTAACTTATATAAATATAAAAGCGTATCTTAGTCGAGACTTAACGTGAAAAGACACATATATGCTACAGTACTTAATTATTAAGACATTAGTTAAAATCTTTATTATATCCATCAATGGTATCCATTTTTACGACACATAAGAATTTCAAGCAATTTTACAACATTCATATTCATTATGAAACTTAAAAAATGAATTAATAATTTTAATGACACAACCCCTAAATACAAAATTTTTCTGATAAATCCTTAAAATGCATTTTTTTTGCATTTATGTAATTTAACCTTTATGTGACTGGGACAACTGATTTTTGGCATGGGAATGGTTTTCATCAAACTTAATGCATGTAAAACATTATAGACTAAAGATATACTTGAACCCAAATATATCACACATACAAAACACATAACATCAGCTAAGCAATATCCGCACCAAAATATACACCCATTGAACCAATCATATTTCATTCATCTTCCCCTTGAAAAACAGGAAGAACTTATTTTTGGGGTTGAGGGTGTGGCTGAAAATGTTGTTATGAGGATGAGGGGAAGTGGGTCAGTTATCCTTCCAAAGCTTTTTCAGCCACAAAGAAACCCAAACAAAAGCAAAGTTGATGAAAAGGATTTAAAAATAGAGAAATTGATTTAAAAATTTGTTTTATTGAAATAAATTAAATAAAACAAGGCAAGTGTTCCCTGATAGAAACACTATCTTTATCAGCAAATATGTGAAAATTAATAATTTTAACTTTTATTTTAAAATATAACATAAAAATAAAGGTAGAAATAAACCATTAGCTTTAAAAATGGAAAGAAAATCTGGGACTTAATGCGCGACCTTTGTTAAATATATGAGTTTACATAGCCAATAATTGTTTTAAATAAAGATTTTGAACATTTAGTTCTTTACTGTAAGTAACCACTGCAGTTTTAACAATGCTGAGTTATAATCTTAGAATTGCTGTCTGAAACATAAGAATTGTCAACAAAGTTTGTCACTGACCGATTAATTCTAGGGTGGAACTAAAAAGAATAGCTATCAGATCTTTTTAATCATTCAAGACATACATTTGCTTTCTTCAAATTAATTAAAAAATGACTATTAGCATAACAATAGAAATGTCATTAAAATGAAAGAACAATGCTGTCGGCCATGGTTTTGATTCTTTTACTTGCATCACTGTCCACATTATTAGAATTTATTTCCAAAGCTTATTTTTCTTGTACAAACTTACTTGTATAGACAGGCCTGTCACTGGATATTGGCTTAAATTAAAACAATTTATGAATTCCACAATCCAGTCAATAAACTCCTTTGATCCAGTGACAGCTCACACAATTGGGACTGTAGATTAGTAGTCAAATGAATTATAGAAGTTTTGTTCATCAACTGGAATGTCCAGTTTTAAAACCAAGTTGGCTCAGTTGCCTTATTAGTGCAGCTGCAATGGTTATGTACATTTTCAAAGCATCTCCAGCCTTGTTCATGTAAATGGATGTTGAAAAGTTATAAAGTAGAAGGGTGCTCCTTGTCGTGTCTTAGACATGTGTAATTCGGTAGCTCAGACAGGAATAGCATCGGCCTGAACATTGGGTTGCCCAGTGTCCCAGTCCTCACTCTAACACTGTGAAATGATCATAAAATATAAGCATTTCAGGAAGGCTGGGATTTTACAATGGACAAAACTGAAAGAAGTTTAATTCATTCAATGAAAAATAATTATATTGCAAAATTAAATCATTTCATTCAGAATAAATTTTAGACTGAGAAGTCATTGGCTCTTCTTAGTGTATCCAATGTAAAAAAGGATTAATTTTAAAAAATATACAATTGATAAACTGGAACAATAGATTAATATAGGTAAACTGAAATAGTTGTTTTCAATTTCTATGAAGTTCTCTGTAACTGTATATCAATGTAAATAAAGATTTTCCCCACAGTTTCAATAAAATTTGCATTCATTTTGGCCATTGTAACAAAGGAAAAAAATCTTACCTTCAAAAGGCATTTTAGTCTAGTATCCCTTCTTGACTTGAAATCAAACCAACAAAATCATCTGAAGATAAATGTTGAGCCATTTTTGGATCATTTTGTGCTACAGGCCTTCAGTGAAGTTTGACAGGACTGGCAATACGGCGGACGAAAATAGCATCATGCACAGATCCGAAACATGATGCACAGACTAAATTTTTTTAAATTAAAAATCTAAATTTATTATTAAAATTGATATTTTTAACAAATTTATCCATGAAATTATTGTAGCACATTAAAAATAGCTTTGGTATAAGAAAAGGTGAGCAAAAAATAAAGTTATAATCTGCCAGTCACTCCTGACACCAAATCAATATAACATACTTTAAGAACTAAATCACAATCAACCCTTTAATACAGCCAAGAAAAAGTTCATCAGAGAAGCTAATACACTGGCAACTCCCACAATGACAAAGTTAGCTAATGTACAAGTAACACGAATGGACTGAAAACTTTGCCATTGTACAAGTAAGATGAATGCACTAAAAAGGTAGCTAATCTACGTACAAGTAAGTTGAATGCACTGAATGTATGAGTGCAATAAATTCAAATCAATGTCTTACCTTGAACAGCAAGGAATCAGAACCATCACGATCTGAGAACAGTGTCCCTGCAGCTCTGTGCTGACCGTCACTTGTGACTCTAGAAGTGACATCTTTAACCCTATCAACTGTAGTTGGGATGCGTCGTATGTTGGCAAATCGTGGTGTTGAGCTTGAAAGCTCTTCAGATTCACCTTGCTTTTGTGTTCCTGATTTCCTAGCAGGTGTCTTAATGGCAGAAAATGTGAAATCCAATCCAGAAATGTCCCAGGGATATCCCAACTCTGTAGAATTGACCTCATTTTCCTCTCGTCCTCCATAACCGTTTCCTTGCGGCGCGCCATCTCTGGCGCGGGGTTCCAGGTCATCACATGACACATTGCATTGTTTAGGTCTGTTGATCCATTCCCTGGATGGATCCTGTCGAGACTGGTTTCCACCAGACATGTTGCTTGTATTTCCAGGTGATTGAAGGGAAGGGGTGTTGACATGTGACAGAATGAAGGCCACGAGAGAATCTCCCTGTTGGAAGCTCAAATTTGGCTTCCTCTGTGTTGCATTGTTACTTCTTTTCTTATCTTCCTCGCATGTGACCTGAAAATAGTTGAGAAATGTCACTACTAGCATTCTCAAATGAAAAAAAGGAGATGAACCTGTGAACTTAAAACTATTTTTGTTAAAAACAATTCATTCAACAGCCAGAGGAAAATGTTAAGCCACAGTTCAATATTTTTATCTTTGCTGAGAATTTTGAAAAGTTGGGTGTTTTTGGAAGCTGTGTAACACATATGGTTTTGATTTTAATATACAACTCAAAAAGATGCTGTACTTCACCTCTAAGCCCAATTTCTCCTGCAGATTGGTTAGCATTAAGTCCATCTTGTCCTCAAGGCTGCTCAAAGCTGTGCTGCTGGCATCAATGTCCAACATTTTTAATGACAGAGTTTCATCAAGCCTGCGTGCCTCAGACCTGGGCAAAGGATGCAATCAAGTGTTAGTAACAAAAATTTCAATCATGGATCTTTTCAACCCTCCATTGTTTTATGTTGGCGTGGACTTTTTAAATGGTAATGATAAACTAGCATATATATGACTAACAAACTTGAGATGTTAATGATAAACTAGCATATATATATGGCTTAAAAATTTGAGATGTTAATGATAAACTAGCATATATATATGGCTTAAAAATTTGAGATGTTAATGATAAACTAGCATATATATATGGCTTAAAAATTTGAGATGTTAATGATAAACTAGCATATATAGGACTAACAAAATTGAGATGTTAATGATAACTTAGTGTATATATATAAGATTAACAAACTTGAGACGTTAATGATAACGTAGTTTATATATATGAGACTGACAAATTTGAGTATTGAAAAAGTTTAAAATATGCTAACCAAGTTTTTTAAAAATGGCCTAAGTTACAAAGGTCATTTAATTAACATTATTCAAAATAAAATGTGATTTTACTCAACAAAATTTGAAACACAAAATTTGTTAATGAAACCATGGAGTACGGAGTTATACAGAGTTCGTTAAGTTGCTACCTGTTCGTGTACAACTTACACAAATAAGTGATATGATTCATAGATGTGGCCACATTTCTGTTGACCACTTACTTGAGAGATTGATAGGATCCCTGGATTACTGAGTGTATGTTGACCACTTACTTGAGAGATTGATAGGATCCCTGGAGTATTGAGTTGTTGGTCTGGAGTGAATCTACAAGTCTCCGGTTGTTTTTATGCAAGTCCACTTCTGTCTCCAGCTGTGAACGAAGGTCTCCAATGGCTTCCATACACAACTTCTTCTCTGCCTCCAACATTTTAATTGTGTGTTTCAGTTCCTGGAATGTAAGGAAATAAATTTATTGTGTGTTTCAGTTACAGGAATGTAAGAATATAATTTGTGTGTTTCAGTTACAGGAATGTAAGAATATAATTTGTGTGTTTCAGTTACAGGAATGTAAGAATATAATTTGTGTGCTTGAGTTACTTGAATGTAAGGATACAAATTTTGTGCTTGAGTTCTTTGAATAAAAGGAGATAAATTGATAGCCTCAGGTACTAGAATATAACATCACAACTAACAAGGGAGTTTATAATTCAATGAGTTATAAAACAAGACCTGTTTACCCTCAAACTCTTAAAATCGTACAATATCATCACAAAATCGTTCAATACATTATCTTAATAGTAAAAAATAAACATACAGCTTATATAATGTATACACCTCAAAATCTTACACAGTACGCCAAAATCATAAGAGTAAAACCTATTCATTTATTTGATTAAAATCACCACTAACAAGGGAGATAACTCAATGAGTTATAAATCCTATTCATTTATTCAGACCTGTTTAACCTCAAACTCTTAACATCGTACAATATCATCATAAAATCTTTCAATACATTATCTTAATAGTAAAAAAAATAAACATAAAGTATATATAATGTACACACCTCAAAATCGTACATTGTGCGCCAAAATCTTAAGAGTAAACAGGTCTGTTTATTTGATGAAAAATCACCACTAACAAGGGAGATAACTCAATTGTGTTATAAAACCTAGTCCTTTATTTGAAGAATGAGCAATTTTAAAATATGCTGATTTTAAAAAATGGCCTAAGTTACAAATTTACAAAACTACGGGGCTATGCAACTCACCTCCACTTGTTCTTTCTCCGTCTCAAATGTGGCCAAGACCTTATGTAGCATGTCCAGTTCACTCGCCATTTCCTCCATTTTTATTCTGTCACTAAGCATCTGCTCTCTGAGCTCATAGAGTTCTTGCTCTGTCACTTCCTTATTGACCTCCAAGCTGTCCAGTGTGTGAAGAAGATTTTCGATATGCTGCTCCAGTCTGATAGATAATGTTGTAAGGATGACACATTTTGTGAGATGCACTGATATTTGGGTTGTAATTAGTGGCATCACAGAGTTTTTAAATTTTACGGTTGATTGGGGCATAGTAACATGCTACATACCAAGAGCATATACAAATAATAATACGCTTACTTTGACTTGGATAATTCATCATCTTCTCTCTTTTTATTCTCAATTTGTTTGGAAACATCACAACTGGAACATAGGAAAATAATATTTCTTTAAAATGTCACAAACAATATAGTTTGACTCTCATAAGTAAAATATGCAAACAAGTGGGGTGGGGTTGTAATATAGATGTTAAGAAATAATATCTGTATTTTGCAAGGAAAAACAATGTCTAGCAGAAGAATAGTCCACAAAAATGCCACATATTAAGGATATCAATTTTGTGCTTGAGTTCTTGGAAATAAAAGGAGATAAATTGATTGTATACTTCATGTCCTAGAATATCAGGAAATAAACTGATAGTGAGCTTCATTTTTTTAAAATGAAGTTCTGTACAATGTGAGCAATTAGTTTTTGCCCGGCTGTTCTCAACAGGGACAGACATGTCACACAGTCCACTGTACACAACAGACATGTCACACAGTCTACGGTACTCAACAAACATGTAACACAGTCCACTGTACTCAAGAGACAAGCAACACAGTCAACTGTACTCAGACATTCATACAATCCACTGTACTCCACAGACATGTCACACAGTCCACTGTACTCAACAGACATGTAACACAGTCCACTGAACTACCAGAAAGGTCACACAGCTCACTGTACTTACAGCTGTTCCTGTTCCATGTGTACCTGTTCAAGCTTGAAGACCTTCTTCTCTGCTTGTACTAAAGCTTGGCTTAATTTGTTTCTACTGTCCTGTAGCTCCATCAGTTGTTGTGTGAGGAGATCTTGTTTTTCAGTGAGCTCTTCAAGGGCTAAGCAAAGAATTTATTAATGGAAGCTAGTAAAAATTAAGTTGAATTGACAAAATACTGTCATTCATTTTTTTGTTATATGTAATATTTCGGTTTGATGCACCTTTTTAAGTGAAATAGAAAAAAAAGAGTGTTTACTATGAGGAATACTTATATATATCCTTACGATACATCAATGTGACACAAAAATGGCTATTTACTTGTTGCACCCATACATTATTGGACTCACTTCCAATATGGATGAATACAAATAAGTTTCCCAAACATCCCTCCTCCCACCCACCGCCTGTTTAAATTTATTTATAGAAAACTAAGATATATCTAATTACAAACCTCCTATCTCTGATTACAAAGCTGATAGCTTTGCCTTATGACAAGTCTCCTATAGTTACATGAATCCAAGACATGAAACATCCCCCACTGTAAAGGTTTTTATTGTCTAACCTTGTATTGTAGCCATCAGCTCATTACTGTAGTAGGAAACTTTGTCTTTGGACTCCTTCAGTTCTTCATTGACATTCTTGTACATGACCTCCATCTTGGGATAAGTACAGTAAGGGATTTTTTAACGAAAATTGTTTTTAATTTAAATGGTTTTTATCTGGTGCAGTCCTGCATTTGCTACTTAATACATTACATGTGCTATGTGACATTGCTACGTAAATGATGGTGCTATGGGACAATACTATAAATGTTTCATTGCTTCAATGCTCCTTGTGGTACGAGACATGGTTTCAAATGCCACAGACGTTTGATACTGCTCTAATGTTGAATGTGCTATGTGACATTGCTAAAATGTTGATTGTGCTAGGTGAACATTGCTGGTCTGACTTTACTCTAAAGTTGGATCTGAACCTTGCAGTCAGAAATTGCTCTGATGTGCTATGTGAACAGTGCCGTCAGACATGGCTCTAATGTTGGATGTATTATGTGAACGGTGATGTCGGATCTCTATTGCTGAATGATCTAGCCGACATTTCTTCACCAACAAAAATTTAGATGTATTTGACCAACCAATTAGAAAATATTTAACATTCAGCATGAACAAGATGTCATTTTAAATATTAAGTAAGGGGAACGTCACTGATGGAGCAACAGCATACAGGATCTTTGTTTCGGTCTTAATATTATGGCTTTTTAAAGATTAAATGTTATATTTACTTGTGAAAGAATATAAGATGAGAGATAAACTAAAAGATTAAGTTGTTAATGCTGACATTGAAGCAGTGTTTCTACATTAATAATATTATATGTTACTGATTGTTTTGTGGTACCGTATTTTACGGACTATAAGACACACTTTTTTCTTCCAAAAATTGCCTCCAAAATGCAGGTGCGTCTTATACTCAAAATTAATATAAAAATGTCCAGCATTTGATTTAAAATTCCCGCCAGTCTTAAAATGTCCATATATTCGATGCCACAGGAAACCTATCTCTATCTGGCAACATTGGATTCAACTTGCAGCAGTTGACGATTTTCAGCGATTTTAAAGGTCAGTTTGGTTTTATAAAATAAGAATTTTTTTTTTTTGTCTGGCTTTGCAATCTAATAATAAAAATGGGTAAAAATGTTATTTAAAAAAAAATTGCTTAAAAATTAAGGTGCGTCTTATAGTCTGTAGCATCTTATAGTCTGTAAAATACGGTAGTAGGCTGGCACCTTCTTATTTGTGCTGACATACCTCCACCAAGCACTTGTTACTCCGGTTCAAAATGTCACTCAGGTTTTGTATATCCACTTGCAGCTCTCTGTTCTCGGATGAAAGGTTCTCAAGCTCTTCTTGCTGGGAATTGTATTTCTTTTTCATGTTGTCAAACTGGTCAGAAAAAAGTCATTTTACATAAATTAATCAAATATTTATAAAAATTGGAACTAATAAAAAAATGAGATAAACATTATTCTGACACAGCTGACAGAGACGGTGACGCACAGCAGACAGAGAGACACAGCTGACAGGCAGATTCAGATGACAGGGAGAAAGCTGACAGGCAGATTCAGGGGGGGGGGGGAGCCGGCCACAACACAGCAGACAAGCATACACAGCTGACAAGCAGACACATCTTTACCTCAAAAACAAGTTGCTCATGTTCCTGCCTATTCTTCCAGGCTGAGCCCTTGACTTTCTTGTCCAGCAAGAAGAGGCCGTCAGCCAATTGAAACTGTTTGATTAAATTATTCCACAGTTGCATACATTCTGTCCTACTGAATACATTCTACAATATTTAACAATCATGTATTCCAGTATACTTTAGCACTAAGACCCGTTACGTACGTAGCACATGCCACATATGCCCATATAACCAAACCTACATAAAACCACCATAGTTTTCAATCACCATAGAGCACATGGAAAATTTTCATTTTATAAACTGAGCTGAAATAGTAACACTCATGATGTCAAATAGATTTTGACCCAAAAAAAAATGGTTTTACATTTTATAATTTAAAAAATTATTTGTGAGCCTAGAATATGATAGTTATGCAGGATAGTTTGAGAACTATGCATTAAAAACCTAAGTATTGAAATTTAATTCTACCTGTAGAGTTACATTTCTTTCTAGATCGTCAAAAACTTCAAGTAACTCTGTCTTCTCTGCCTGGAGCTCCTGAATGATTTGTAATGAGGATTCTAACTGACGCTTGCTGTTACTCTCATCATAACGTCTTCGTAACTTGACCAGCTGGGGGAAAGACTTTCTTTTATTTAACCAAAGACACAAAAAGTTGAATAGTTCAAATGAAACATACAACACTTGTACAGTTGACAAAATGGTGAACACCAGTTAATACATAGATAAATCTAAATAAGAATGTTGTATTACTTAGAAGGTTAATACACACAGTTAATGTTGAAAGTAAATTAATAATAGAACAATAACAAGTGTTTCAACAACCTATAAAATGATGATAAATAGTAGAGATTCTGAAAGGCAGTACATTCATACAGACATCACCAGCACATTAACACAGATAGCAGTAAGTTCAAAGTTGTAAGCTGTACATTCACCAATATCAGAGTACATTCCCATATATCAACAGTAAATTCACACAGATATCATCAGTACTTTCACACATATAGCCATACATTCACAGAGACATGATGTTTTACTTATATCTTAACCACTATTTAAGGAGTTTTATTCTAACCCCATCAAACAGGGTAGTTAATATTTTTATGAAGACCATGCCACTCCATAGGTCTCTCAGTGCTAGTTCTTACCTCCGTCTCAAAGTGGCACTTTGACTCCGCTTGCAGCTGTTGTAAGGTTTCAATCTTATCTGCCAGGTCTTGCTCTAGGGTAATCAATCTGACCTCGGCTTCTTTACGTTTTTCTTGGCTACATTTTAGCTCCTGCTCTAGGTTGTAGATGGTTGCCTGTTTCTCCTGGATGCAGGCTTGTAATCCAAGTGTTGCTTCCTCATGGAGGTCCTTAAAGAATAATTTCATGAGGATACAAAACATTGTCTCACCCTTCTACAAGACATATCAAAATATACAATGATAATGCACTTCATTTAGAGCAGTGTTTCTTGAATGTTTTGGCCCAGCCCCACCTAATCACTTAGCAAGCACTGATGCACCCCTCCTCCATTAACTCTTGACATTCTTTGAATTTTTCGTTACTATCTTAAGATTTCTAGTGAAGCCACAAAAGAGGCAATATTATTAAGAATGTTTGTCTAAAGTTAATGATGTTACATATAAATTTGTAGGGAAATGCATGAAGCTTTCAAAAATTGATGTTTCTTAACATTTAAATTCAATACTTTGAAGTTTTGAGAAGAAAAAAGAAAAGAAAAACTATTTGGACATTTTTCATAAAGTCTGTGTATTCAGAAAGAAAATTCATTTTTGTATGTCATATGAAGAAATCAACATTTTGAATGGCATGTTATTAAAATATGAAAGATTGTGTAAAATATGTCAAAAAGGGGAAATGATTTTAAAAAATCAATTGACCGCCCCTTCACAAAAATTCATAAGAATTACAGGTAATCATTATTTTACATGTTTATAAGTATTTACACCAAAGAAAATACATATGTGGACAATTTAAACTTTATGGTACCGGTACTCAAGACAAGTTCTTGTTTTATTAAAGCCAGGGTAAGTGCACAATTTGACTGTTTTTTTTTAAGTCCCAATTTATAGCACACTTTAGAATTTCTCTATAAATATGTGCACTCAGTGAGTGTTGGATGCACTGTCTGGTAATATGAGGTGTTAACATTTGGAACATCCTCAGTTTTTTGTAATCCACTCTAATACAAGCCCACTTGGCGGCCCGTGAAGTAACGAAATATTCTTTATTATTATTAATTTCTTAATAGCTCCCCACCCCCCCCCCCCCCCCCAACATCTTTGGACATGCACAAGTTTTTCATAAAGTATTACGCCCCGCACAAGTTTTTCATAAATTATTGGCCCCGCATTACATTTTGAGTTTTGCAGGCCTGCTCTAATACGTTCCTCCGTAAAATCAATTTGGAGTTAGCAGTTAGGCTGCTTTAGTTCCTCTAAGTCAGGATTTTATTTTCTCCACTCCTGGAAGATGGATCTAGCTGTTTACCCTGGCAATATCAACAAAATCCAAGAAAAGGGGTTCCTAGTACTTTTTTTGTTTCCTTATGGTGTTGTATTTAATTATCAACTGACCTCTTTTATCCACACCACACAATGCATTGTATGACTTTACAATATTTGGTTGTCTCACCAATAACTGTCTAAAAACACTATCAGCTTTGGTTCTCCTTTTCACATGGGAAAATCTATTAGCTGTCATATCATTGGAGACAAGAGAGACTGTTTTAAAATGTCTCCATTGGACAGTTAAAATTTCATCCTGTCTAATCCACCTCATGTATCCTCTTTAGATTTGTTGTCCATAAGTTTTGATGTCTTTCAGTTCATTAGGCAAAACTTTTCTATTTTTCATTACGGTCCCCACAAGCAAGTATTCCAATTATCAACAGAGTTTTTTTTTTTAGTAATTGATAGCCTTCACAGAGATGATCAACCAAAGAAAATCCACTCGGTAGCCTTGGTTTTTTAGCCTACTTGATAAGGTTCATAAGAAAATCATAGGCCAAGCCATTTTTTGATGATTGAGTCTGCTTTCCTAAAGGTACATCAAAATCATAAGTGTAGCCTGTTATTGCCTCTGCTTGGACCCAAACTGCCATACTCCATTTTGTTGGCTTGTCTCTTATTTATTTAGGCATTTTTTTATAGCGCTTACCTTACAGCTCTAAGCGCTTTACATATTATTAAAAATATGTAAACTATTTAAACTGCAAAAGTAAAATAAAAATGAAAAACCAGAGACACTAGAACAGTAACTACTATATTAAAAATTACTATAGAAACAGTAGCTTAAACATTAAAATGGCTATAAAAACGAGTACACTTTGGCACGTTTTGGCCTACACTACAGGATCAACCTGAGACAGAAAATGAGGCAGGGCAAGGAGGGTGCATCACTGGTCATAGGCGGACCTAAACAGATAAGATTTTAAGGGACTTTTTGAAAGTGGACGAGGTTTCACAATGACAGATGTGGAAGGGGAGCTGGTTCCAGAACCTGGGCGCATGGAAGTAGAAGGAGCGTTCACCAATGGTCTTAGTTTTGGTTCTTGGGATTGAGAGGGTTCTATTGTCAATTGAAGAACGTAGTTGTCTTGTGGGGATGTAAGGAAGCAACAGTTCAGAGAGATAGACAGGAAAGTGAGGGTCAGTGAACGAGTTGAAGCATAGATTGGCAGACTTATACTTGATGCGAGTGGATATTGGAAGCCAGTGGAGTTGCTGCATGTGTGGTTGAATGTGATCATGTTTCTTTGATTTAAAAATGAGTCTGCATGCTGAGTTCTGTGCCTTCTGAAGTTTGTCTATGTGGTGTTGAGGGATGCCTGCGAGAGGAGTGTTACAGTAGTCAAATTTTGAAAGAATGAGTGAAGAGACGAGAGTCTTTGTGGCATCAAAGGAGAGGTGTCTAATAGTGCTGATTTTTCTAATTTCATTGTATGCTGATCTGCATATGTTCGTGACATGTTTGTCCATGGAGAGGGTGTCTGTAAGCATGACTCCAAGGTTTCTGGCAGAGGAAGAGAATGTGATGTCAGAGTTGCCAATAGATATAGAAGAAGGAGCGGATGGATGGAGAGGTTTGTTTTGAGAGTGGATGAGAAGGATTTCCGTTATATCATCATTTAGCTTCAGTTTGTTGCAAGTCATCCAACGCTTTACGTCGTCCACGCACTCCTGTATGCGAAGGATTGTGGCATCAAGTTGATCAGGAAAGCAAGAGTCACTGATTTGAGTGTCATCAGCAAAGGATTGACTAGAAACTGAGTGGTGGCTAATGAGAGATGATAGAAAGTGCCTGAAAGTGTATTGCCCTTTGTTTTTCACCATGCGTTCATCTATCGCTCACTGTTGGCGAGGCTGGTACAGCTTTTGGCATTTTCTTCTTATAAAATCAGACAATCTAACTTTACAAAGTTTGGCCTCCTCATTCTCTGAATTTTAGAAACTTTGAGGAAAGTCATCATTTAAATAAATCTTTTTGGTCAACAAGGCTACGGCCTAAAGTCCATGGTACAAAGTTGCTGCAGACCAGTATTTTTGTACAGTGGGGACCTGTACAATTGACATGTACGTTAGAAGTCCTAGAAATTGCCTCACTGTATCCCTTGTTGACATTTCTTCTCTCAGCATTCAAGTCACAGTCAGTAACAATCTGTTAAAGGAAGTCTTAACCACTATACTGGTTACATATTTCTCTCTTACCTCCTTATTAACAACGTATATTTCTCATACCTGAACCATTTCCCTCCTCATACCACATCATTGTTCCCCCATATTTCTCACATACCTCAAGCATTGTTATGTGTTTGCTCTGACCAAGTTTCTCCAACTCAAGTTGTTTCTCCACATCAAGCAGCTTGGACTTGACTACCCTAAGTTCAGCTTTGAGATGAACCATCTCCTGAACCGAACTCTTCACTTCCTTTTCCAGTCTTTCGTTCACTGTCATCAAGGTGTCCAGCTGGTTGGCAAGTGTACGAGGGTGAAGCTGTCTCACTGAATCTGCTGTTAACCTGCACAAAAATCAAGATTCTCATAGTAAGTGTGCATCAGCATAACATCAACTATGAGACATAACATTAACTATGAGACATAACATTAACTATCAAACAAAAGACATAACATTAACTATCCAACAAAAGACATAATTAGCTATCAGATAACCAAGTGACAATTTCATTCAAGTCTACTTTAATATAAAGCCTCAAATAACAATTCCGGTAAAGTGAGAAGGAAAATTCCCATTACTGTAAGGTACTCTCAACTATTACTTCATTATGCTGTTACCGTCAGTTTCCACTATAAGCTCAGATAATTGGTGATGCATCCAGTGGCGTAGCGAGGGTGTTTGGCGCCCGGGGACAAGATTCGCGCCCAGGGACAAGGTCCATTTTTAGCGCCCCTTTTTCTTTTTTTTCAACTCTCATCAATAAAATAATATCAAAGCACATTTTGGCGCCCCTAACTAGCTGGCGCCCGGGGACATCTGTCACCCCCTGCCCCCACCACGCTACGCCTCTGGATGCATCTACTGATATTTACAATCGAAAGAAAATGTGTTTTGTCTGACCTTTGACCCTGTTTAGCAATTTTGATGGGGGTCATCGAGGAGCAAATATCCATCACCAACTTTTTATCCGTCATAGTCAGTTTGTTGACGACATCCGGCACAGCCATCATACTATAATCCAGGGTCTCTGGATGATCTGTAATCATAGACACATCAGTTACTTGGCATGGCTCAGTATGATCCGTAATCATAGACACATCAGTTACTTGGCATGGCTCAGTCAATGAAGATGTGTTGACTAACAAAGGCACTGCCATCATACTTAGATCGCATGTGTCTACAATGTCAGCCCTCAGTGCCATATCATCATCGACTTGGCACGACGCATCCAGCATGTGTGTATGGATCAAGTTTTCCATCATCTCACCAAGTTCAGGTGACACTTCATTGTCAGAGTTTGTGTACTTATTTGTGAATGTGGTAACTTGGCTAGCTGACCATCTGTGATGATTGACTTGTTGACTTCCTCTCACCAAGGGTCTGCTAGGACTTGTCATGTCATCCCCACAAGCCGGAGCACTGAGTGATTGACACAGTGCCATATTTGTGTGTGGTGTCTGACAGCACTGGGTGACGTCACAATCATCTTGACTAAGAATATCACAGGCCTCCATCTCAGAGTGATGTGTCACTGACAATGAATTTACAAAATCTTGAGACAAACGACAGCTGTTAGACGCCTTGCTGTCCCATTTAATTGTGTTTGTGCTAAAACTGTCTTCATGCAGCAGTTGCCTGTTGGCGAATGGTACTGACGGTCGTGAAATAGTTTTCTCTGCCGATTCATCTGTTAACACGTCGGCAGTTTCTTGATTATCATTTAGTTCATTGTTGACAGGGGAATTCTGAAGGTCCCTATGATTAGATATTCTAGGTGTGTGTTCAATTTCCAGCAAGCGTTCAATAGTAGATTCAGATAGTTCTTCAAAATAACTGTCATCACTGTTTGAATATGTCTCTATAAACTCTGAATAGTTCACCCTTTCAAGGTTAGCATCATTAGGGATTTCCTTAAAGGCCATAAATGGTGGCACAGTATGAAAAGAGTTTACTGGTAAGTGAAAACAATGGTCAGTGACAGTTTGTGAAGAAATCTGACAAGATGATGACACATCCCATTGACTGTAACATTGCTGTACAGGGACAGCATATGAATGATCTGTTTTCACATAATCCATGTGATCATTAAACCCATCTGTTATCACATTGTCAATTTGGTCATTAGATGCATCTGTTGTAACATTATTTTCAATTGGATCAGAGGACCTATTAGTTGTAACATTGTCCATTTGGTCAGTGGACCTATCTGTTGTAACATTGTCCATTTGGTCAGTGGATCTATCTGTTGTAATATTATCCATTTGGTCAGTGGATCTATCTGTTGTAATATTATTGTCAATTGGATCAGTGGACCTATCTGTTGTAACATTGTCCATTGGATCAGTGGACCTATCTGTTGTAACATTGTCCATTTGGTCAGAGGACCTTTCTGTTGTCACATCAACCAACACATCAGGACAGTTCTATAAAAAAAAAGTTTAAGATAGGGATTTTCATGCAGTTATTTTTTTAAAATATATTACTTCATTAACTGTCTTCATCTATAATATAAATAATTATAAATTAATTGTAATTAGATTTTGACCAATAATATGGCTTTAAATAAAATTAATAAATGACAGTACATTTTATTTTTTTAAATTCATTACTTTTACAAATGTGTTACCCATGAACAGAGAAGCTATGGTAGGAATAGGACCAGAGAAGCTATGGTAGGAATTAGACCAAAGAAGCTATGGTAGGAATAGGACCAGAAAAGCTATGGTATTAATAGGACCAGAGAAGCTATGGTAGGAATAGGACCAGAGAAGCTATGGTAGGAATAAGACCTGAAAAGCTGTTGTTAAAATGGGTCAATGTTTATAAATATAAAATAATAACATTGGATTAGATTTTGAGCATATGTCTTGTCTCCTGGCATGTTGTATACTATAACAAAAGTATTTATAAAATTGGTGAACCAAAATGCATATGATAAATGGTGTCTTACACAGTTAAGTTTCTGAGATGTTGTATTTTCTAATAATAAAATGCATAAAAACCTTGGTGAAGTGAATAGCATACGATCCTGTAGTGGGGTCACATGTTATATCAACTTCAGAGCAGTTTGACTTGGGTCTGACCTCCGTTTCACTTATTTTCAGAAGGTCACTGCTGCTAAGCTCCCCGCTCTGAGGGATCTCTTCTTGGCCATCTCTGCCAGCCACAGTTAGTTCACCTGCCAAATCTATTTGATCAGCACAATACAAACTCTGATTGTGCAGAACTGACAACCCAGATTGCGGTGAAAAGTGTTTAGACTGACTGTGCAGAATAGGAACCACAGATGCAGATGATGTATGTGCACTACGTCCTTCTGGTGTTTTATCCTTTTCATGTCTTTTTGTTAGCGCCACTTGTGAATAAACATCTGGTTCCTCCTCAGACATTTGAGGCAATGTAATCCCTGGGACTGTCCCCTCGGAGTTAAACATGATACCAGCACGGAAGGAAGGGATGCAAGACTGTTGTATTGGACCATCAAATATTGCAATATTATTCAAAAATTATATTTTAAAAATGCATTTCTCTAATACATGTCATTAAATAACCACAAAATATTACAACCTGCAAAGTAAAAAGTTTTAAAACTCCAATTTTCTCCATTTATTATGTACTATTTCTCCATATGAAATGAATTCATTGTAGCCTGAGCCTTATTTTTGAAAATGACAAGATTGTCTTTGTGTATGTAGCTTAATCCATAACAAACTAATCTAAGCTATATCGTAATGAGTACTTTTTAAACGTACCCTTCTTTCTTTGAAAATCCTTTGTTTTCTCTTTGGAGTACCAGGAGCAGAAAGATTTGAAGCTTCACATCTGTCAACAAAAATTTCTTATAAATATTCAATAGATTCAATATAAATATAAACATTGTTTCTCTTAAATTTTAATAAACAAAATATTAATAGAGCAAAGATTTTTTTTTTTTGAATTGGCAGAGAGTGCACTCATTTGATGTTTCAACAAGAACATTAGCATTGAATTAAAAATATGAATGAAGATATGTCCATGCAGCAGTATGGTAAAATGATTTCAAATTTAAACTTACTTTGACACTAGAGACGTGGATTTTTCACATTTATTGGATGAGGTTAATTGGGAAAGAAACACTTTTGTGTCATTTTTTCTATCTCTTAGTGGAGTCCTTCCATATATGCTTTCAAAGGTAATTATTTCTTTGTTTCTCTGAAATAAAATAAAATAATGACTGTCGACTCTGAAGTCTGTTGTATTTTCTTTTCAAACATATGTTTAGGACCAAAAAAACAAGAATTGGACAGTAACAAACTTTTAGCTTGCTCTCTCTATAATTAAACTTTACCCTAACCAAACTTTTGAGTTTGAGTCTTTTGAACAGGCATTGAGCTTAGGTGGGAAAGGGGCTGGGTCACTAATTTGTGATGATGTGTAAGGAGTGTTTAAATTGCAGGGAAAACAATCTGCCAAAGTAGGGTTGACATCATTTAAAGATGGCCTCTAAGTTAGGCAAGAATTGTTTGTCATGATGATTAATAATAAAAAGCTGTAGAGAATATTCAATTTATATATATTCCAATTATATAGCTTTTTAAAGTAAAAACATCACATAGCCTCGGCTATACAGGACTGATGTAACTGAAAGTGGTATTACTTACAAGAACAAACTACTTACCAAGATTTGATTCTCCTTATCATTTACTTCTGAATCAGCAAAAATCTCCATGTTGGTGCCAAGAATTTTGTTCTCGTTTCACCTAAATTAAAAGATATGACAAATTATCACAATCAATTTCAGTTCAGACTGTGTAGAATATGAGTTTACCTAACTAGAGTGAAACTCGATTTCAAGTTTCGTTATTTACAGAATTCATGCGCTTAGTCTTAGAATAAACATGTCTAAAAGTATAATGTTGGTAAGTCTAATTTTTAAGTTTAAATTAACGTTTTGACAAACCGAATCAGAAGTTATACCTAGCATAAAGTTAGTGTAATAGTACACCATTTAAATTAAAGTTACAAGTAACAAACTACTACAAAGTTAAAATAGTGAATAAAGTAGACGGAAGTGCAGAAACTAATAATAATAATAATAAGTACTAGTCACATCAACATACATCTTTTTTTCAGAGTAAGAGAGGGCAAAAACTTTGGTACGCACCGGGCAGCTACAACCATAGCTAGCCACTTTGGTGAAAATTTCAAAACATTTTTGTTAAATATATATATATATATAGCTGTATAGAGCCTAGAAAATGGTTAACAAAAACACCAGGCTCAACTTTGTCAATTTCTAGCTCAAGTCCAAGCGGTTCAAAAGTTATGAATTTTTTAAAGGACCATACTAAAAAATTTGTATTTTGGAGTTTTCCTAGGCTTTGATGGATGGATGATGATGAGAGGGATCTACAGCACCAAGCATGGAAAAGAAAAGCATCAGTTAGGTCTGAGACTGAGTGGAAGGATGTGGTGAGGCAGGCCACAGCGGCTCAAAGTAGTCAAAGTTAAAGCCATACATGGGCCGTAATGCCACAGGAATGGAATTTTTAGAATAACTTAGCACTGAAGAGGTTAGTTTGTAGGCAGTGTCTAATTGTTCGTCAACCGGACTAATAGTGCGGTAGATATTCTTCCAGCGGGCATATCCTGTGACCGCCGGATGACTAGTATGTGTTATTATTCCGGCAGACATGTCATGTGACAAGAAGTCTGTTATCTTGATTTAAATATGTTATAAAGCCCTACCTAGTAGCCTAAATTTAAAATATAAACCCAACAAAATAAGACCAATAATTGCCAGTTGACTGTCAATAGACCTACTGTCAAAAAAGTTTTATTTTAGGCTCTTAATATTGCGTGAGAAGTAGGCTACCCTAACAGCCAAATATTGGCCCCATATATTAAGATGTTGGGCCTATTTCTTTGAGAACTTTCGACCTCCCTGCCTTAATTATCTATCACCCTCACTATCATTTTTATCCATTCTCTCTCAATATTTCCGTCGCCCCCCCCCCGCATATTTCTTGAAATGAAGTGTATACTCGTCGCCCCTATGCATCTCCGACGACAGTTTTATAATCAACTATTTGCGGTCACGTGACAAGGCTGACGGACAGATATCTCACCCAACATTGTTACGGCGGTCATGTGACCTGGTCACCAGACAAATATCTCGAGACCTTATTCATCCGGTCGCCGGACATGTAGACACTTCGTAGTTTGTATACTAAGTCTAAGTAGATCAATAAGAGACTAAATATTTTTTATAAATAAAACAGGCTATGCCTAAATTAATCTATAACAATTTAATGGTAGATTGTAGTTTTTAGTTAGCCTATGCCTATACTAAATTTACTTATTATATTATACTATTAATTATAATTAAAAATAGTCAATTATAATATAATAATATATTATTTAGTGAGCCATTGGTGACTGATTACTGTCAGTGATTGGTCTTGGTCTGTTTATTCGTGGGCAATAACTGGATGCAGACCTGGGGAGGGGGGGGGGCAGGCCATGTGTGACGTCACATATTTATTTTTTTAAATTTTATCTCCAATTTATTTTTTTAGTAGCATTTAATAGCTTTAAAAATGATTATCAAAAATTTTGTGAAACATTTGAATTAATGTTATGTCAAAATAGCATGAAATGCGTATCTCTTAAATGTGTTGTTCACGATTCCTCTCGCTAGGAGCGCTAGTAAGCTGTTGCGAAGCCTTGTTTTATGCATTGCCTTGCATTTCGTCATGCCAGAAGTATTATTATTTCTATGTCCTATGTTGTCCGCTGCATAATTATGTCACTGCCCTTTTTATTATTTAATCACTGGGTGAGGTCAAGTTTCGCTATTCTACTTCTTTTACTGTGTAAAAAGATTGCATAATCGGAAATTATCTAAAACTTGACCTCACCTATTACTATTGTAAATGAAAAAGCAGCAGATAAATGATGTGTATTATATAGAATATAGTTGTCTAGTCTAATTTTTGTTTTCAAATTCAATCTAGATTGAGCTTCAGTCACAGCTTCAATGAATAACTGTGACAACTGTTGACAATTAAATATTCTACTATTATAGTCATTTTTTTAATAATGAATAATGTGCAGTTCTTTAAGTTGGAAATTTTATATTTTAATACAGTTTAATAGTGAAGTGTGTTTTAGATTAAATTTTAATTAGGTGTAAATTTGTTTTTAAAAATTGTTCAAAAGTGTGACGTACTAGGGGGGGGGGGGTGTGGGTGATGTTCCGAGATTTGTGACGGTTTGTGACAGGGGGGTTAAAAATGGCCAAAAATATAGCGTGACGTACTTTATGGACGGCCTTTAAAACCAAGTTCCAATCCCAATTTCCAATCATTATTACTATCTATTGGATTTAATAGTGAAGTGTGTTTTAGATTAAATTTTAATTAGGTGTAAATTTGTTTTTAAAAATTGTTCAAAAGTGTGACGTACTAGGGGGGGGGGTGTGGGTGATGTTCCGAGATTTGTGACAGTTTGTGACAGGGGGGTTAAAAATGGTCAAAAATATAGCGTGACGTACTTTATGGACGGCCCTTAAAATCGAGTTCCAATTCCAATGTCCAATCATTAGTACTATCTATTGGACATATGCACATATTTTAGTTTTAATATAATCAGTATACTTTTAAACTTATAAATATCCAAGAATGACAACAAGAAATTATAACTTTACGCTTCTCAATTTAATTATTCCATTAATCGCCAAAACAACTCACTATCTGTGTTCACTGTTTCATTGAGTGTTGTTTTTTCTTTCAAAACTTCGCGGACGAGCGGCTGATCTGATTGGTTTGAAGTCCAAATCACCGGATGCTGTTCCGTATTGCATTTCATATGCCTGGAATGAGTTCTTATTCGCAATAATAATTTGAGGATTGAAATGTTGTTTTTGTTGTTTATAATTTATACACTTACCACACCTCTAACTAACCTCTTCAGTGCTTAATCATTCTAAAAATTTTATGGATGAATTTGATGAAATGATATGATAAGTGCCTTAGTATCAAAGGAGTAGCTAGGATTGTAGTCGCCCGGGGCGGGGCAAGCCTTTTGAATGCCGCCCCTTACCACGAAATGCCACCCTTCAATATGAGGGGAGAAAGTCCCGTCTGGGGTGGACACCCTTCCACACTCCCTTCCTACACCACTGCTTAATAGTACTAATTTTTCAACTCCTGGCTCACAGCTACTTGGATATTTGTGTAGAACAAAGCTCCGCAACCGGTGTGTGTGTGCCGCGAGATGATGCCAGGTGTGTTGCGCAAAATGCATCCCAGCTCCCACAGGAGGAAAAGAACAAAGTAGCCCTATATAAAGATACATTAAGAAACCATGTTTTTACAAAGGGGGAAATTTTGACCAGGGCCGGCCCTAACAATTGCGGGGCCCTTTGAGGAACGGATTGCGCGGGGCCCAGTCTGGGTAGGGATAAGGATAATAAATGAAAATTAAGATTTTGTATTAGAAAAAAGTGCGGGTCCCACTGCGGCCGCATAGGTTGCAGCGGCCTAAGGCTGGCCCTGATTTTGACAAGCAATCAAACTCTGCGATATTAGAAATGTGTCTAATACACAGCTAATATAGAACAATGCACTCTAATATTATATTTTTTTGGTGTGTGTGTTTAATGCATTACAGTTTACTTTACACATTATCCTTATGTTTATTTAGTAGCCTATGTATATTTCGGTGAAGAATTAGTGTACATCCATACCAGATCTGATGGTTAACTATTCAATATGGCCCTCTTTCCTGTTAAGACCATCGTGAAATGGATGCTAATTCGGGAACTACTGTTTCCTGGCGATGCCACCTTAAAATTGTACAAAGAAGAAGGTCTGCAGTGGTTAGTTAAACGCCTCTCTAAATCAAAGAAAATATGAAGATTTTGGACTGGCAATTTTTTCTACAAAAAGCAAATGTCACGGCGCAGTGCCCTCCAAACATAACTATTAATTGATGGCCATAATCTGTCAGTAGTTGAGAATTTTGGTTACCGGAAATTTGTTTGAAAGAAATTTCGTCGACGGAAAATTGATCGACGGAAATTTGATCGAACGGAAGTTTGGTCGATTCATTTTTTCAGTCCACACGATAAAATTTTGCGTCAAATTTCTTTTCGAACGCATTATTTTGTTTTACTATATAGGGTCATCTCATTTCTGATGCATCAACCTTGAATTTTTAATAAAGCACGCATTTGGATTGATTACATTTGTGAAAAATGTATGCGTGATCGATTATCCTTTTGTGAATCTTGGTTAGACCGAGCAGTGTGTGCTCTGAAAATATGCAATTTTGTCAATTGGGTGTCATACCCTAAAATGGTGTCACCCGGTACGGTCCGCACCCTCCGCACCCCCTTCGCTACGTCACTTGATACATGTGTAACGCGAGGGATTTTAAAAAAGGCTGTTGAGCACTGGTGTTAATACAAGCATTAAAATGTAATTAATATTATGAAACTTTTTTTAAAAGATGTAGTTACATTTTAAACTTAAACATAATATTTATTATTATTTTAAAATATAGGCTATGATTATGATATATTTTTTAAACGTTACGGATACGTAATGGGATTTATATTTATCAATTTTCATAATTCACTTAATGTTGAGAAAACTAACGAAAACATAATGCGATGATTTGCGATTTGATGAAGACATATTAAAAATAATAATAATAAGTAATGTACGATGCCGTAACTATGATATATTTTTTTTTAAAACGATTGTTGATATCACGTGATCATTTTAAAATGGATACTACACTAAATAGGATGGATGCAACTTTCAGGCGAACGATGACGTCTGTAACAGACCTATTGTTTCCCATAAATAAAGGAAAAGACGAATTAAAGCTACAAATCATTCGTAAAAGTATGTTTATTAAGGGTTACATAAACTAAATATATTGGAATATTATTTGGCATGCCAAATATTATTTCACGGCAATCATCATTCATGGCCATGGTCATGTTCGTCTTCGACTTGTTTGGGCCTAGCAGACGAGCCCGGCATAATAATAAAAAATTATGCAGCCGCATAATAATAATAAATAGTAACTACTGATTATACTTAACACTCTAAATTATATTAATACATACAAATTCTAGTAATAGTTCAAATTATTAAGAACAAGATTTATATTTCGTAAAGTAAAGCAGACTCAAACTCAATGCACTGTTACTGTTCTCAGTTTCTGAATTATGAATCTGGGTTTGAAAATATTTGGATTAATTTCTCAATTTCTGATAAATTGTAATTTTCCTCTGGCTGTCATTTTAATGTTTCTTTATAGTATAAAATGTTTGCAAAGTAAGACTCAATATAGCAAAGTTGAAAACTCACAGTAAAGTTGTAAACAAACAGGAATAAGCCTTCTAAAAATGTTGGCACTCACCCAAACTTCAAAACACTAGTAAAACACATCAAATCAGTCGTTACTGTGACATTTTAATTAATTTTTTTTTTGGAGGGGGGGGGGGAATATAATAATTGTCACTCAAGAACTTTGAATAATGTCAGAATACATATTCTTTGTGGCTTAAGTGCCACTGGAAAGCAGATAAGTAGCTTGGAAAGAAGCCATGGCGTGTTCCACCTCGTTGAACTTGAAACCAACTGCAACACTCAATTTGGATAAATTTGTTGTAGTTGACAATGGTGTCGCAAATTCAATGCTTTCGAGAAGTATTATAACATGCTTGCCTTTTACTTTGTAAACCCAATAGAATTTCATCATGTCGCTTTTCTGTGTGCTAAGCCCACGCCCACAGTTAGCAAAAAATGACCTGGTGGATACTGCAACTCATATTTCACAGACTGGATTTCTATGGGTAACCATCAGGTGATTCAGCACATCAGACTAAAGACATGGGACATTGACACTATGAGATAATGTTCAGCAAGCCACACTAACCAAAGCATGCTGTCATACAGTGCCTTCAGCATTGTGTCATAAATTTGCAGAATGTTTCCTGGCAAAATATTAATTGCATTATGAACTGGCTTTCTGATAAATTCTAATTAAATTAGACTTCATTTCAGTAGCCTACACATTTTTCTCCTCAGATCATGAATATGTGACAAATCTTCCACTTCAAATGGTGTTATATTTCAACTGTTTTTATTTCCCTTTCTGGTTTATTGGCAATTTAGTTGTCTTGGATGTCAAGGTAAACTTGAAATATAAGAGATAATGTTTTAAAGCTGAAAATAATTAAGTTAAGCCATTTTTAAAGGTGAAGGTACATTTCAGTACTCTGTATGTAAGTTGGTGTATTGAATTAGCTTTATAATTATAACCAGGAAAACTTAAAAATATTTGTCTCCTTTTATAATAAAAATTAACATGTAGAATGTAGTAATTTATATGGTTATAGCTGTAGTAAGCTATGTTAGATATATCTAATAGTAATATAAACAGTCAAGTTAAAAAATAATTACAGGGTAAATGATTTCTATTGTGTTTCTTGAGTTGGGATACAAATAAAACAAAAAAGACTTAACATTAATTTGATCACATTCATTCAAAAGCTTTTAAAGTTGTATTCTTTTTTAATGTGGTTTAAGTTTTGTTCTATTTATTTTTGCATCCTATGATTTGTTTTCCTGACTAATTAAAAGAGTGCAAAATTCATAATCTTTTTCAACAGTGGGTGCGTCTTGATGAATTGTATCGCATTGTCCTTGTTGCAATCTACATTGTTTACTTCATCATAGAAATAGTCAGACTGTATCTTGGATACTTGGGAAATTTAATGGAAAGGGTGAGTTATTTAGTTGTTATTATAACTATGCTATATAATAATAATAATAAGGGGTCTTATATAGTTGGAGTCCCGTAAGGCGCATACAATGTCAATTCCTGCAACCGTACCCATCCCTGGTCGTCTTGACGTAGAGTCTTGCCACTGGATATGGTGGGCTCGGACGAGAGAGTGAGGTTGACGCTGCGCAACTCTTCCTCACTTTAAACAAAAGTCACCCGCGCAAGTCATCAGTCACCAGACGACTCGATGGTCATCGTCGATCCTCGACGGACGAACAACAACAACAACCCCAGCCTAGGGCTGGGCTCACCGTGCGGTACATAAAAATTTTATCAAAAGAGACATAATCATGACATTAAAATAAAATACATTTATGAAATAAAGAACAACAATGTGTATTCACCCACCCCACCACATAACTTTTACAAGGCAAACCATGGACGGCAGCCAGCAAGATCATTTATCGGTCAGAGGAGGGGAATCACTCAGGGTAGTATAATTTAAAAAGATGTGTTTTGAGTGCAGTTTTGAAGGCCTGGGTGGTTGGTATATTGCGTATGTGTAGTGGCAAATAATTCCATTGTTTGGGGGCGCAGAAAGAGAAAGATCGGTCACCATATGTTTTAGTGTGTGTCATGGGAACTGACAGAATACGCGTGTCTGCAGAGGAGCGAAGCTGTCGAAGGGGTGAATAGACAGAAAGAAGTTCGGTTAGATAGGAAGGGCAGGAATCCAAGAAAAAGTTGTGACAGAGAACAGACAACTTGTAGTCAATGCGTGCCTGTATAGGGAGCCAATGAAGGGAATGGAGTAGTGGAGTGACGTGATCACGTTTTTTTTGCCTTTAAAACTAGCCTAGCAGCTGAGTTTTGAACTTTCTGCAGTTTTTCTATGCAGTGTTTTGGTGAACCTGACAGAAGAGAGTTGCAATAGTCAAGACGAGAGAGAACAAGAGCACAGACTAGAGTTTTTGTAGCGCTAACTGTGAGGTAGTGGCGTATGGAGCTGATCTGACGGATAGTGGTGTATGCTGAACGACAAATGTGAGATATGTGTTTATCGAGAGACATGTTGTTAGAAAGAATATAACCAAGATTCCTAGCAGAGGGTGTAAACCGTATGTCAGAGTTACCTACTTGAAATGAGGTAGGAAGAGTTGAGGTAGAGGATGATGTGTGATTGTGGATGAGGAGTGCTTCCGTTTTGTCATCATTAAGCTTCAACTTGCTGAGTGTCATCCATGACTTGACATCATCAATGCACCCCCGCAAAGTCTGGACAGCGGATTCAACAAGAGAAGGATGGGTATGCTTGTATAGCTGCGTGTCATCTGCAAATGACTGGCTCTCAACAGCATGCCTCCCAAGCAAGAGGAGCAGTGGTCTGGTATACAATGTGAATAGAATCGGGCCTAAAACGGACCCCTGTGGTACTCCGTACACCAAATCAGCACTGCCTGAGAGACAGCCATCGACAGAGACCGCCTGCGTTCTATCAGAGAGGTAGGACCTAAACCAAGCCAAAACTGAACCAGAAATTCCAAAGTAATTTTCAAGGGTTTTGAAAAGGATTACATGGTCAACAGTGTCAAAGGCCGCACTGAGGTCTTAGAGGATCAGGATGGAGATATCACCACTGTCCAATGCGAGCAAGAGGTCATTGGTCACTCTCAAGAGAGCCGTCTCTGTGCTGTGGAAAGGTCTTTAGGCCGACTGATTAGAACTGAGAAGAGAGTGGTCAATTAAATAAGCAAAAAGTTGTTTTAGAACTAGTTTTTCAATAACTTTAGATAAAAATGATTAGTTTGATACTAATCATTTTTATCTAAAGTTATTGAAAAAACTATTGAAATATGAGTTGCAGTTATACTAGATATAATTTTTAAAATTATTTTCATCCAGACCAGGCTTCTTAAGCAATGGTTTGATGACAGCTGATTTACAGAGGGGGAACAGTGCCAGAAGACAAGCTTTCATTTATTATGTGGGTTATCGTTGGGAGCAAATGCTCTAATGACTCAACCAACACGGGGGTGGGGATGGGATCCAAATAACATGACGTTTAGATTTTAAATTTATACTTTTGACCTCAAGATCTGAAACAGGTTTAAAAGTATCGAAATGTGAAGTAAGACAAGGAACAGGAGGCAAATCCAGGGATGGTGCATCAAAACGATCAAGCTCAGCGCAAATGCTAGCAACTTTGCTTGTAAAGAAATCACAGAAAATATCTGGTTGCTGGGGTAAAGGAAATACTGAAGGAAGAGGAGTTCCTTTGTTACTCCCTCTAAGGAAGGTGGCTACAAACATCAAACAACTGCCTGCTGGTTTTACCCATAGTTATCTTTTGGCTAAAATACGAAGTCTTAGCACGACAAACATTATATATTATTTTCCTCATGTTTCACATTGCATAGTGCTGTATTAGTATATGTTAATAAATATTCTTAATGAGAAAAATATCTAGTACTAGTACTGTAACTAAATGAGGGAAACAAGGCAGGCAGCATGAAGCACTATATTACTATTATTATACTGTCCCAAGAGTTCCGTTCTTTGAGATGTCATTAAACTCACAAGCCTTTCTGTAACATTTGGCACTGCATTTCATAATAACAGTTGAATAGATTGTTAGGTTTTTTCCATTATCAGGTTCCAGAGCTTGCTGGGAGTTGGTTGTTAACTTTGCTGTTGACCACACCACTCATCCTGCTGCTCCTAATCAATGACAACGCACTTGTCCTCCCACTCGAGAGAGCTTTGCATATAGTCAAGATCATCATGGTTTTGCTGGAAGTTTTCATTGGTTACTTCGCTATTCGTACCATGGTCAATTACCAGGTCAGTGCAAGTTTTCTAACTAACATTCATTTCAGATAAATTATATAAAGTAAAGGCCTGTCTAATATGTCGTGTAAATTGGAAAAATTCAACAGGCCATCAAGCCTGTTCTTAATACTCCCCCCCCCCCCCAAGGATAACAAAAAGGGATGTTGGCAGTGCCCTCCTTTTGTGATATCTAACTTATCCACAGTTCTATTAATAAACACTTGAACTAAAAAAAAGTATAAAGCAAATGCAAACAAAAAAATGGTCCTCTTGTCTTTGAGATCTTGTTCTATGTGTGTGCAGTTCCTGCTTATAGGGAGTGGTCAGTTACATTGTCAGGGTGTCCAATTTCAGTGAGGAGTGGTCAGTTATAATGTAAGGGTGCTAAAGTTCATTGAGAGAATGGTCATTTATTGTCAGGGTGTCAAATTTCAGTGAGGAGTGGTCAGTTATAATGTAAGGGTGCTAAAGCTCAATTAGAGAATGGTCATTTATTGTCAGGGTGTCAAAGTTCATTGACAGAGTTGTCACTTATTGTCAAAATGAGAGAGTGGTCAGTTATATTGTCAGGGTGTTAAAATTCATTGCGTCTGCTCAAGCTGCACACCAGATCTCCAACAACTATAGTTGAATTGTCCTGTGAAAGTAAGCTTTTAGTAAGTTTAAGTTTTCAATTGTTTTGTTTTTTCTTTAGTAATTGTTCAAAATTGCTGTTACGCACTGACTTATATTGGGAGAAATTAATCTCCTATTTTAATTGGCTCGTTGTAAACAGTGCCTAACAAAGGACGATACCATAGAATCAACAATATTAAAGATACGACCCAAAACAGTTTCTAGTTACAATTAATAAGATTTATTATGTCTTAAGATAATTACAAAAGAAAAGAAAAATATAATTACAATCTTCAACTTACAGTATGGTAGATCTTGTACCGGTACACAGTTAACACAGTTAGAATAATGTGCCAATAAATAATGCGAAATAAACACATATGAGCACACAAATACACAAAGAATAAAACACGCCTCGTAATGTTAAGAAAATCTATCTGAAAATCTCCGTCCTTCCGAGCCTGTTAATCCCTTATATAGGTGGATCTACCGACGCCCAAGCCCTGCCTTCGAGCAGCTACAAGGCATTTCTGGAACAATCAGATTCATTCTACAAAACACTACTTGGAACAGATTAATTATTTTTAGTAGTTGGCGGCATAAACAAGAATACATCAAAGGCCTAAGCCACACCCCTTTGTGAACACAGCGTCTCATGCGGGGTCAATCAGAGGGCACGCACGAGAAATATTATGTAAACAAGCTCTCTATAACAATTGGTATTTTTTCAATGACCTTGACCTCAGCTCCATAACCATTGGTGTCCTCAATCACACTATGTAAATGCACATCAAATAAAAATTCAAAATTGTAACAAAATGTTTCCACTTAAACAGGTCACCAAATATCACCTGCAGCAATTTTCAGATCTGGAAAACACAGATGACAGTGGTAACTACTTTCCAGAGACACGTTACACCAGCTAGTTACAAGATTGTAACTAAAGTTTAAAAAATGTGTGTATATTCTTGAATCAAAATAATGACTGTTTGAAATGAGACACATTAATTTAAATAGTTAATAAAGAACAGAACAAAAAGAATTTTTACAACTGAATTATTTTTTAATTGTACATCATGCAAATAGTTTAATGAAGAAAATAATTGTACAAATGCATCACATTTTTTTTGTTTATATAATAGAAAGTTGGAATAATGATAAAAAATGTAATCCTAATGTATCTATTTAATTTAAATACATTAATGAATTTATGTAAATATTGATATAATGTATATATATTTTTTATCCTTTTTGAAATAAAATCCTTCTAAAAGTGATAAAATTGTTTATTTTAATGAAAATGAGCTTGAGGGGAGAAGAAAAATAAAAGAACTTAGCTGCTTTCCCATGTATTTTTGAAAGTGATTGCTCATTGATAAATGCTACTGGTTGTGGTCCCTTAAATTATTTTTCTGGCTCTGTTGTCTAGGCATCGACAACACTGTAACTGTAACACTCTTTCAAAAGAGTAACACGAACACATGCTATCAACTAATAGCAGGATCATCACTCAATGAAATAAATAGCTACGGTTCTTCAATATTTTCATGAAGGCATATGCAAGTTCACAATATAATGTAAAAATTAACTTTGACAGCCTTACACTTCTGGCTCTCATCTACAATGGCAACATTATCCTATATGAACCACTGGTTGAGCAACTAAATATTCTTTATGACAATGCTAGCATAAAATGTGCACAGAATGTTTACAAAACTGCAAGTCCCAAAATTCTTGAGTAATATACTGAGTGGAATACACTTGGAAGGTGTTAAACTAATAAACGTCAATGCTCTGTTGGGCTGAGACTTAGTCTCTTAGAACCCTGGCTACTAATTTGGCGGCGAGCCTCATCTGCTGGGCATCCCCGTAAATCATATCTTCAAGGCAGGCTTCCAGGTCTCGCCCGTTTGCCCCCGTCCCCCCACTAGGACACGTGATGACCAAATGAGCCACTGTTTCTTCTGCCTCGCCACAGAATCTGCAGTTTGGTTCCCTTCGATCATCTAGTCTGTGGAGAAAGCTGCGTGTCGTGCAGAGTCCAGTCCTCATTTGGGTGATGAGGCTCTGTTCTTCTCTCTTGAGTCCCCACCATGGGTCGCTCTTGCTCGGTCGCAGTCTCTTCCGCTGCAGCTGTCATCCGGTTTCTCCTGCGTCCCACTTGCCGAACCATTTGTTCCGAAAATGGTCTTTCAGCCATGTTGTGACCCCGATACCGTTCCACTGTCGTTAGGACTGCCTTTTCCCGTCTGATTTCGAGTGGTTCAACATCTGCCAAGACTTCCACCGCGGCCGTGGGTGTCGTGCGTATCGCCCCGCAAACAAACCTGAGAGCTTGGTTTTGGATGCGTCCAGTTCCTCTAGAGCCGTTCGGCTCGCGAAGGTTTGAACTGGGAGGCTGTAATCCATGGCTCCCTTCACACCACTGAGATAGAGCGATCTCAGTAGTCTTGCGTCTGCGCCCCAGTCGGTGCATGCCAGCTTCTTCACGAGACCTAACTTTTGTGGGGTTTTAGCGCACAGTTCGCATACATGGTTATGAAGCTGGAGTTTCTGATCCAACTTCACGCCCAAGTACACTGGAGTCCGACCCCATTGCAACTCTTTCCCATTGATGGTTAATATCCACTGAGTTTTTTCCATTGAACTAACCGATTAGCAACTGCACTGAAAAACCATGTGTGGCTGAATTAAATTTTAATTAAATTTTCACAAATGCAGGTCTACGTACAATTTCAATCACTGTTTTTTTTTTTATTATTAACATAATAATATACCATTTTTCAGATAAATGAATTTTCTTTAAAATAAACCTAAAACAGTTTTTGTCACTATTGTTAACTATTTACAAGAGAAAAGCATTCAAAATTTATAAAAGTGTGCCAACTTGCCTTCCAGATTAGAATTTCCTAACATGAAATAATTATTTACACTTTTAATAATTTAGGAAATCACATCTATGCTAAATTGAAAAAGGTTTCCAAATTTAGAAAAAAGCCAAATTTGAATCTACATTTCTCCACTTATTTACAATATGTTTGCTTTTGGTTACCTTACCAGTGTTGCCATTGCCATGCAAAATACTTACAATCTACCCTCAAAATATGACAAAAATACATTTTTTTGTTTACATGTGTTTTTTTAAAATTAACTTACTGTCTGTTAATTAAAACTTCAAACTGAAACTAAAGAACAAATGTAAATATATAACTAGTTTTACTATGAACCAAACCATGATGCTCCCAGCCTATCATGGCCATGATAGAAGGAATACTTGGCGATACCAGCAACTTATGGTAGTTAACCAGCAATAGGGGAATAAACAGAGATGGTGTGAAATGTTTTAAGTGTAACTCACGGCCTGGAAGTGCAATCAACATTAAAATTTGACCAGTCCGGGTTTTCTAAACTGTTATTACTATTTATCTGCTATGAAGATGCTTTCACTTTCTAAAATATTAATCATCTTCCTAAAACAATTCTTCATCTTAATATTAATGATGTAACTAGTAAAAAGATAGTACAGAAATCAGTACCAAAGTAGAGTAAATAACACTACTTAAGCTTTCACCATCATGGGGTTGGGAGGGAGGGCTGGGTGTGTGTGTGTGTGTGTTGGCTCAGAGGGTCACTGAACTAACAAGGGGGATTAGAAAGGGTTTCCATGCTTAATTTAAGGAAACTGCAAACATAAACAGCTAAGTTTCCTGTCACATGACTACAGATATGAAGGGAAATTTGAATACCCATTTTTTCCCACAGCAGCATAGTACATCATGAGGATGATGTATGGAGCTTGATAACAGCACTATAGGAGCTCAGATGAGGCTTTGTTTGGCCAAACTAGATATGCAGTAATAATATCTATTGAGCATAGTCATGGCTCATGTTGATTAGCAGTGTGCAATATAACTGTGCTTGATACTTTGATACTAATCCGTAATGTTTTGACTTGCAGAAGCCATTGCTTGCTCATTCCTAACCAAATTGGCAGCAATAACAAATGGGTTGACATCACTTCCAGCGGGAGGACAGTAAATGGACATCAGGTTGCTTGGGATCTGAAGCCTCTGCAAACCTTTTCCTTCTGGATCCTAGATAGATGAAAACAGAGCAATGTGTCACAATTTGAAAACCGAGAAATAAATATGCAAACAGCAAAAAAAAAAAAAAATATTCATCAGTGGTTGGGACATCATGTTCTGACATCTTATTTAAATTGAACTAATCCCCAAATGAAACATTTTAAAACAGATAACTTTCAAAATCTGTGTTTCTTAAGGTTATTTGAAGTACTTATAGCAGTCTTATAATGTGGTAGTCTCACACTACCTTTCGCCTGTAAGCGCAGTGAAAAGGTAAATGGTAAAGTCTTGAAAAATTTTCAATCTCTTTAAGATCTCCACCAAAAACATCACCATCTGAGAAATAAAAATTATAATCAGCAACAACTATAAGATTGGTAGACTTGTTGTTGTTTTCTGCAATCTCAAAATGGGTGTAACAGTTTGTATGTCTGACGATTATTTTTGTGTGTATTGAGTGAACTTTGTGACCTGATTGGCCTGTGCTGTTGTCATGTGGTGTGACTGGACCAAGCTAGTGGACTAGAGCTCAATACCCGGAAAACGCCTAGACAAGTAAACCATCACCCCGGTTGGATGGGACTCGTGATCCTTGGATGGCAGCTCATCTAAGAGTAGGAAAGCTCTGAAATCAAACCCTGAGATGGATTCCTGTAGGCGTTATGACATTGAAGCAATGTAAATTCTGACTATGCCTGCAACGTTGAACCCATAAAGAGCACAGTGAAACACAAATACACACGGCTGGTCATCTACTGCATCCTGGTCTATTTCCAGTGGTCTTGACTAAGTCAAGCCATTGGATCAAATAGGCAAGAATAAGAGAAAGTGAGGCTGGCGAATTGAGCAACTCTCCCTCACTTAAAACAAAGACAGCTCAAGTCAAGGCTACAACTCAGGTTGGAATGACTGAATCATTTCTTTTATAAATGCCCAACAAGCCAACGGTAACCTGTAGGGGATTCATTTTTTTTTTTTTACATGTAAAATTAACCAACAGTAACCTAAGTTAAGTATATTACTAATATAAGCTACTCACCAGAAACCACCAATATAAAACATTGGCTAAGAAGGTATTTGATGTCAACAAGAGGTAAACTTTGCTTAATGGTGTTGAAGCTGGGTGAAAACAAGAAAAGCGGGTTAATTAAAGACTAGAGCACCCTTTAAAAAGTGTGTGAAATTAAACAAAGTGACTGTCATATCAATCTTGGAAAAACATCTAGATATTCCACATAGACAACTATAATGGTACATAATAGTAAGTTTAGTAAGTAGCATTATGAGTTGTGAAGTGAAATAAACTTGTACAACTTTTAACGGAGCCATTAACTTTTAACGAAGCCATTAACTTATAAGGAGCCATGTTTTGAGTTGCACACTTACTGCCGTACAGGGGAAAGGAAGAGTAGAAGAGAAAGGCTTCAAAAACAAAACCAAACAACTTTGTCTTCCACCTTAACACCAATGGATACCATTTTTAAGGCTGCTGCCCAGCTATCCTGTTTGCTATGCCAATGGGTACATGCAATTATTATTATATCCTAGTTTAGACTTAAGACCATGACAAGAAATATAAAACATTCCATTGGCAAAGCAGGATCTATCTTTAATGAACTAGTCACATTCTAGTGTCTTTGTTGACTGTTTTATATTTCATAAATTTCGTTTTAATTACCCCTATAAATTGTATACTCTGAATAAAATGAAAATAAAATGTCACATAAACCTTTTTAATGAACAGAAAAATAAAATTGTAATATTTAATGACATCTCAAGTACTTTGCAGATATCGATAAAGTATTTATGCTTTCTGTGAGCCAGAATAAGATATGCTTTTAAATGTGGTATAAAGGCAAGGGTTCGCATCTGGCCCCTTGAACAAAAATGACACTGTCTTTGAATATGGTAATTCATCAGCATTCAAGGTTCAATGATTATTTAATTACAAGGGCCATTGAACATATGTACTGAGGGGAGGTTCTTAATTTTGGAGTTTGCGAACAGGGGCGGTGGGGGGTTATCCTGAAATTCTGGCTGTCCATTAATAGCCCAATACTAATACTAGAAAAATATCACACTTGCATTAGTTATCAATTTATATTATCCTCCATTTGCCTTTTGATGTTTCTGTGCATGACGTAAATATTTGCCAACTTAGGTTTTCCGCATGCACCCTATAGCCTATATAATCATAATTCTAATGGAAACAATTCAAAATGGCAAAAAACTTTTTTTTCAAAAAGTTGTACAGGACATTAAGAGCCATCAAGGAACCAGTTGTAGGAGGGAGGGAGGGAGAGATAGAGAGGTGAGGACAGAATTATTTTTTAATTTGTTCTATATTTTAATGGCCACTGAATTTTTTCAGTTTTTGTTGTTAACTTACCTGTCTTTGTCACCGATCTTGTAAACCATTACAATAGCATCAATCGGAGGATGGTTAGTGTTCTTTAATGGTAATTTCTTTGTATATCGCCTTAAAAGAATAAAATATTCAGAATTATATTAAGCACAAACACACTTCCAGTCATTTAATGTGTACAAATTTTTTAAATAATAACTCCCGCATCATCCCAAAGCATCCATTGGATTAAAACTGGAATTATTACATTGTTATTTACAACTAATTTCTAAACCCAGGGGTCAGGTGGCTGTGCCATACATGGTGCTTGCTAGTGACAGAGCCAGGGGTCAGGTGGCTGTGCCATACATGGTGCTTGCCAGTGACTGAGCCAGGGGTCAGGTGGCTGTGCCATACATGGTGCTTGCTAGTGACTGAGCCAGGGGTCAGGTGGCTGTGGCATACCTGCTGCTTGCTCATGACTGAGCCAGGGTCAGGTGGCTTTGCCATACATGGTGCTAGTGAACATGATTAAACTCACACATTGACTCCATGTTCCCCTTCTGTAAAAGTCTTTAAATCATCTGGTATACGTAGACAATGCTCATGGGCAATGACCTACATGCAGAAAACATAATGAAATGGTTCAGTTAAGGTTTTAAAATCACAATTTGAAATTGAAAATTGCCAGCATAGACATTTAGCTGGAAGTACTCCTGTTTTGCAAAAATTATATTTAACTATTAGGCCTTCCTAATTACTATTAGTAGTCTTAGCTTACCTACTATTTATGACTTACTATTTTTTGTAGGCAAACTATAGGCCCTAAAATGGTAATCTCTGATTTTAGTGTACTACGTTCAATGCAAATGAACAAGTTTTTTGTTTTTGTTTCATAGTTAACTTTTTCTTTTTTTAAAATAAAAAAAATTAACTTATTTTATTATTAAATGGGTTTTATAAGTCAAATATTGCCCTTTTGTCCCAAAACAAAAACTATTAAACTTATAAAAACTTCATGGGCATGGTGCCATTGTGGTATTACTGGTATACAAGGAGAAATTAAAATTACCTTAAAAACCAACAAAAATATAAGACTCGTAGAAAAAAAAAATATTATAATTTTTTTGTATTAGGCCCTAACTATTGAAGTGTTTTTAAATGTAATTCCTTCTGGTAAATAACCAAGGCCTAGTGATTTTAAAAATAAAGCGCATAATAATTAGGCCAGTGATGGGAATAACGAGATGCGCCCTATGCATAAAATGCCTTGGGTAGTACGCAAAGCATCCTGGGCATAATCTGTTATGGATAGAGCACAATGCTTTTGTCCACACAGTTTAGGGATCAATTATTGAATGTAGTTTTTGAGCTATGAATTCAAAAAAACTTGATGAAAATGTAAGTTAGTTTGTCCTTTTTTAACGGTATGTTACTATGATAACTATGAATGTACCAGTAGGTTGGGCTGCACCCCCTCATTTTAATTTTACATAATATAATAATACTAATGACTAATAATACTGCATTTAGATAATTACAGGTTACAAAAATTGTTGCTTTAGTACGACTTGTTAATTTATGCTTTCATGGTAAAACAATGTGCATTTATTCAGCTAAACAATCTAAATAATGTGATCATTATTACAATAACAGCATGCACATAGCCAAAATAGCAAATTGAGCTTTTAGAAGCTACAATTATTTATAGGGCTCAACAACTCACCCCTTCCAGTGACTTCGTAATAATCATGATCACTCTCTATAGGCCTACACTCTATTAAGTCTATTTTCTATAATTATACACTAAATGTCAAAGAGTACTAAAATAAGAGATTACCTTTAGATTGATACTTTTTAAAAGTTACATTTGTGGTAATTTACCATTTGCGTGGTTTTCTTTTTAAATTTGTTATTCCCACTGGAAGTGCTATTTTTAAAGTAATAAATAATAAATAGTAATAATAATATAAAGAGGGAAAAATGTTTATAATTGATCCAAATAAAAGGAAATTCTTTTTATAATTATAATTATAACATTGTCATTGTGCATGCTGCATATTCCTTTCAGGCACACATTTATGAGTCAATACAATAGGCATCTCAAAACCACTAATAACGATCAATACTCTTATGGGCTGAGATCCAATCTCTTATAGCCCTGGCTATTATTGTGGCGGCTTGCCACATCTGGTAGGCATCGCCGTAAATCATATCTTCAAGGCAGGACTTTTAACAGGCTGTCTGGGTAAGCGTTAATCGTTTTTTGCACTGCCTTTAGTAGTTCTTGTTTAGGGCCGGCCTGTAACTGAAAGCAGGGTTCCTGTCTGTCCATTTGTTGTTAGGACCACCTTTTCCCGCCAAGGGTGTTGTGCCTATCGCCCCGCATACAAACCTAAGAACTCGGTTTTGAATGCTGTCCAAGCCCTCTAGAGCTGAGCGGCTCTCAAAAATTTGGACTGGGAGTCTGTAGTCCATTGCCCCTCTTATGCTACTGAGGTAAAGGGACCTCAATAGTCTTGCATCAGCAACCCAATCTGTGCTGGCTAGATTTTTCACCAGGCCCAATTTTTGTGAAGTTTTGCCACACAGTTCGTGTATGTGGTTATGGAGCTAAGCTTCTAATCCAACTACATGCCCAAATACACTGGAGTCCGATCCCATATCAATTTTTTACCATTGATGGTTAATTTCGTTACCACTTTAAGTGCATTCCTTCCATTCGTGAACATCCAGTAAACCGTCTTGTCAGTGTTCACAGCCATTTTCCACCTATTCGCATAGGCTTCAATTCGGTCTAGGTCGTGTTGCAGCGGGATCTGCAAGGTTTTGACATCCTTTCCCAAACTCCAAATTACTAAATCGTCCGTTAACATCGCGTTCTGAGATTCAATTTCTCTTGCAGGTCGTAAACATAGGCGAGGAAAAGTGTGCAGCTAAGGGCGGACTCCTCCGGGAGTCCGTCCCCTGGGACAAGCTGATCAGATATGTTATTGCCAACCTGGGCAACCCGTGTGGCAATAGTTGTTTCTCAAGAATTCCTCCCCCCATGCGGACACGGACAAGTTTCCAGAAATCCTTATACATGAGGCCCATGCGCCATACTCGTTCGTACGCATGTTTGAGGTCAAAGAACACGGTGATCATGTGATTTTTCATTTGGAGCTAATTTGTCATGGACTGAACTAGACAGATCACCTGATCCATGGCCTGGCGGCCCTTGCTGAACCACCTTGCGTAGGTGGTAAGCACTTATTTTCTCCAGAAACCAGTGGTCTGTGGGGGAGATTGGACGGTAGCTTGTCGGTAAATGACCTGGTTTTCCATTCTTTGGTATGACTATGGGCACTATGGCCTTTTTCCACATTTTCGGCAATGTGCCTGTAGTCCAGGTTTGGTTTATGAGAGCCAGCAGAAGTTCTCTCCCTTGTTTACCCAGGTGGGTTAACATTTCGTAGTGAATTGCTGCTATTTGGACCCGGGTCCCTTTATATTAAATGCTACTCGAGTGTCATTTGTGGTAGTTTATTTTAGTTAAACTGAAGAAGTAATTAGTAAGTTTACAAACATATAGTCATTCATAGTGAATAATAGTGCATTCTAAATTATCTTTCATTTGATACCAATTACCAAGTTTTGTCTTACACTTACAATGTACAAACCCAACAATAATATTTTTTAAATTTTGTTAATAAGCCCAATCTTTCATTCTTCAATCCCGGGTCCGAATAGCTGCAGCCATACATAATTTCATAAATTATCATAATGACTGCACTCATTTTGACTCATGTCATGTCCATGTCACCATAACATACTCGCACTTCTTTCTGGCACATCAACGAGAAAACAGCCCACACTAATCAATAATCGGTAATCTACCACTTGAGCGTCGGCCAAGAAAAAATCCAGCTGTTCCGGTTGGAAGGGCTATTTAAACAATTATTCATATACTATTTTTAACGACATTGGTTGTGCATATTCATTCCCATATAATAGTACTAATACAAATACACAAGAAATTTTTTTTTTTAAATAGAAAAACTATTTAAAAAATTTGAAATAGAAAAATTTAAACAATTTAATGTTTGAAAAAGGAATTATGGATAGTTCTCCCCCAAGGCGACAATGAAGTTTCAAAAAATATAAGTTCCACGAAATCGGTTGTGGTACATGAATTCATGTAAATATGAAGAGGAAAGATCACGGCTTGTTCCAAACTGTCTTTTCAGTTTACGCTTTTTGAGCATCCACGTTTTCCACATTCTGTGTGTGGACATCCGCGTCAACTGGATTAAAAAAAAATAATAATTTTGTTAATGCACCATCTTAGATGTTGAATAAGGGGTCTGACAAATTCATCAGTAGTGTGGACAGTGGACAGCCACCATTCTTGTTCATTTCGTATCTTATCTGTATCAAACATCGGCACTTTTGTAGTCTCTTTTTCTTCCTGGCATATCGGTAGCTAGGCAGTTATAATTATTTAAATGTATTAGTATTGTGCTATATAACTTTATAGCCTATGCCTATACGGAAGCAAAAATATTAACGGACTCCAATGTAAGAATAGTTGTTTAAATAGCCCTTCCAAACGGAACAACTGGATTAAGTGGATTTTTTCTTAGCCGGCCCTTGCTCAAGTGGTAGATTACCCAATAATCTATGCCCCCCAAATCCCAACAATTGTCAATAGCTAAGTATGAGTATGGGCTAAGGCCAAGGCCTACCGCATAGCTAAAAGTAAGTAAGGCTACGGACAAAAAATTATTGAATTTATAATTTAAAAAGTTTGTTAAAATACCAGCGCTGTTCGTGGACCGTACAGATTTCTTATGGTGTTATGTGGGCGTAGAATTGTAACATCTTCGGAGACCGAAGATGAGTTAGAATGTTCCATAATGATAATGTTTGGAAACACGGCAAACAAGCGAAGGTAACCTCGAATTTCAGCGAATTTCAGATTCACACTCACAATACTCGTTTAATTTTTTCAACATTCAAAATACTGCGCGGAATTGCGTTTCGTAGATTTAGTTCTAAATTTGTAATAGTAAAATAAAAAAAAGTTTTCTGTTAGGCCGAGCAGCCGAAACAAATGTAAATGAAATAACGTTAGCTAAACTTTTTTATTTTGTAGCCAACCTTTCTTATGAATTTTTATTTATTGCAAAGGCAAAAAGACTTTAAACGAGTATTCTTATTTAACATAACTAAGCCCGTTTCAAAACAATAAAAGACATAATTTATATATATTATTTATTACCTCCTCACTCGCACTGTGTTGGACCAGTCAAATTAAAGCAGGTCAAAAGTCAAGGCCGTCAATGATAGAGATAGTATTGATAAGTTAAGACTAAATCCGAACCTTGAACTTTCACTCTTTCTGTACGTGAATATTAACATGGGTGTTAACATATTTGCGCGTGTTGCAATGCATTCATGAGCAGGAGGATTTAATGACAAGGTCACTGAAATACAATTTACATAGCCTAACCCTAAACCATAATAACGCATTTACCGTGCCGTATATAAGTTTGTAAGTAACATTGCATGCAGATTGTATAATATTTTCATTTTTAAATTTGTTACTTGTAGTCTTGTAGTACACAAGTTAAAGTTGTACTTAACTTTAATTAAAATCAATTAAATGAAGTATTTTCTCATGAGTTTAGTTGGCAAAAATATGTAACATTTTAGTTTAGTCATAGTCACTCATAGACCTAACATTAAAACTAAAACATTCCTTCAGCCTGCAGACATACAATGTATGACACAATACATAGTGACATAGTATAGGCATAGGCCTAAGGGGCAGTGCAATTTCAATTATGACATTTTGGCCCACCCCTACTCCTACGCCTTGTAACATGTTCATAGACCAACCTATCCCTAATATTATATAACATCCAGTGCGGGGGGGGGGTGGAAAAAAAACAACCCCCCCCCCCCCCGAATAAAGTTTTAAATTTTAAAAAACAACAACACTGAAATAAGCAAATTGTTAGCAAAAAGCCAGAATTATTTTTTTTTATGGGCTAATACTCATAAAAGAAAATTACTTTTAGATTTAAATAAACTATGCCTATGTCGTAAATTTGAAAAACAGAATTAATAACAAAAAATAACATGAAAAGAATTTTTATTTACCATTGCTCTTGACCCAACCCCCCAATATAATAAAATGATAAACCACCCATTGCCATTACCCATATATACTATGTGCATAGTCCCAAAGGTGTTAGTTTTACAAATATATATATTAATTTAAATTACCCCTAAAGAATTTCCACAAGAGCTAAGCATAAAGTTTCATCAACTGTGTTAGTTATAAATTAAAGATTTTTTTTTTTAAAGTGTGAAGCTGTTTGCATTTTTTTAAAATGAGCTCTACCCTAAGTTTTTTTACCCTTTCATAAATCTATCCAATAGAATGCAAGTGAGGATATCTTTTTAATTCCCACTGTATGTTAGCGGAAATACTTATCCAATTTAATACAATTTTAATAATGTTTTAATTGCATTTGATCAAGTTACCTTATGACTTGAATGTGTGTATGTTGAAATGTAATATGAAATGTTGAAATTTAATGATTAATAGCAATAATGGAAATGATAAACGATGATGTAAAACAATGAAAATGTAAAGAATGAAAGCGAATTGCTGATTTAAAAATATAGGCTATATAATCCGATGAATTAAAAAATGTTTACTGTAAATGTTGTGATAAATGCGAAAGAAACTTAAACTTAAATGATAAATATGTATAGCAAACTATAATGTTAATTTACTTTTAATTTATGTGCAATAGTATAATGGAAGCAAATAAAAATCCCATATAATAACTTTTTCCCTCTATAAGTTGATTTTGTTTCTGAGCATGTACTGTCAATTGTGTTTTTGTTAGCAAGATGAGCTATGGGTTTTAAAAAGGGAGAGGAAAGTGGATATATAGTGGCATATGTTGTACAGAGATTTTATGCGGCATCAAAAAGCAATTAATTGAATTATAACTACATTAGAGGAATTTTTAAAAATAACAGTTTTGTCCAATTGCTTGATTTAACGAAAGCCAAAGTTAGTTCGAGAACCTTAAAAATGAAATGTAAAAAAACAAAAATTAAATAAGTCCATATTTATTCCATAAATTATTTAATTTCTACAATTAAAATATATTTTTGAGCATTTCAATCAAAACCACAAAAAAAAAGTCAGTCCTGTAAACAAATCAAAGAAAACCGGGAATACATGTCATGAGGCAATAGAAACAAACTAATATATATTAAAAACATCACACAAACCTTTACTGATAATCCTAGTAATCAAATGTATAGTTGAAATATCTAAAAATAAACTAATAAAGATTGTAGTGAGAGGATTCAAGAGTTCAGTCAACTTTTACTTTCACAAAATTAACATGTGTAAAGTATGCTTATTTCAACAACAACATATTGCTAGCATGACATTGGAGTAAAATAGTTCATATGATTGTAAATAATTGCAGTCAATGTTAAAACAGCCAACAATAAATGGCCTAGTAAAATTGTTCTTTTGATTTTAAATTCATCATTGCTATGGCTTTCACGGCCAAATAATAAATTATTTAAAGGATTTAAACATTTCTTTATAATAATGATCTAATTCAGGTAAGTTTAATCATTCACATCAACAGAGGTAGACAAGGAAAAACGTTTCCAGGGCAGCATCTATATTTTTTTGTTTTCTCAGCCCTCAAATGATTACTACAGAGATAAAAAGGCTGGCTAATTAATTTTATTTAGTTTTGTCTATCTCTCTGAGTATAGATAGTTTACATAAAAGGTGAACAAAATTGTACTTGCACAACTTCTTTAAAAGCAAAAAGGCACTTGCAATACACCAAAAAATCAATTTAAAATAGAAAGTGACTGGTGACCCAAAAGATGTTAAATCCCCCATTTTTAAAAATATGAAAACACTCTTAACTTGCTATTTACTCCACTATTAAAAATGGATTAAAACTGTTACTGTTGGTTTTCAGTTTTCTTATAATACTTATATGCATCATTCTTAAGTTCTTACATTAAAGTACACTTTTAAAAATGGCCATGTATGTCAACAAAGCATCTTAAAATATATAATTATAATTATTATAATAGCATCACTGGAAGCCTATGGTACTAGGAATGCAAGGCCATTCAACTACTTTTGGTCCCTTTTAATTCCAAAGGGCATGCAGTGGAGCTGCTAGCTGTTAAGCTAAAGTCAAGCACATCTTTAAGTATCAGTTTTTAATCACACCAAGTAACCAATTGTTACTGGAGTAATTGAAGATGTCACAGTTTCACAGAATGTATTATTCCCTTTATCACTAGTTGTACATTTTTAGACCAATCGTGATAGCTATCCAACACATTTTAACATGTTTCACAATGAGACAGTTCAGCAGTAGACAGTCAAGTCCTTCAAGGTATTTTCACATGGGGAGGGAATTCTTAAAGAATAATTTATTTAATTCTGATTTGTTTGGTATTTCTAATTGTATTGCACCCTAGCAGTAAACTACAAACTTGCTGCAAACTCAGATGATCTCTCTCTTGTTTATACTGGAAACTTCATAGCTCTGTTAATGAACTTAAGCTAGTTTGCTGTCCAACCTCCATCGACAATGAGGGATGTTCCTGTCATCTGGTTGGCAGCAGAGGAGCACAAAAAGGCAACACATTCAGAAATCTGTACGAAAATACAAAGAAATAAAATTATGTAATGGCTTCATTCTCCAAAAAGTTGAATAAATAAACTGTGGCATGTTGAGGAAAAAGGAACAATCCGAAATCGCCTCTGCCGAATATCTTTTTTTTTTTTTCAAGTATTCGTCAAGGTAAATATTACTGTTACTACTGATGTGGATCCGAATATTTATTTGAAAATTAAAGTTTTGGGGGATGTTCAATAAATATGTCTATTAAAGGGTGGACTAGTGTGCATTTCCAACAAAACCCAGAAAAAACTTCATCTTTTAAAAAAATACTAATTTTATATCCACGCGATTTAACCTTAGCTGCGCAGTCATTCTTACATGCTTACATCCTCCTCAAATGGATAAGTCACAACTTTAAAAAAACCCATCTTGTCTAAAGCCTGATTTTCATTAAATTTTAAGGTTGTCTTTTTTTTGTGTGCAAAATATAAGATTCAGCACCCAGTGAAAATGTCTATCCATTTGTTTCCTATTGAGGCACATCGTAACTTTATGCTCCTAATTAACAACATATCAAGGGTTCTAAATTGCATTATTTCTAATTTATTCACATTTCCTTTAATTTTTAAAACCAACTGACCTCTTCTATTTTGACAGCTTCTCCTGATGGTTGCACTCGTAGAATATATTTCTGTAAAAATGAATATTCAAATATAAGGACAAATATATTGGACTTTCTGAGAATAATCTGTTTGGTCTGGGTCTGATTAAATGAAATGTTTAAATTAAAATGTAAATAATAGCATTTTATGATTACGATACAATAATAAAATATTTTCTGTTCAGGGATTGATAGGTTGTATTTGGGGAAAGGTATTTCAAAGGTTTAAACATTCAATATTTCTCATATGGTGTACACTGTTCCATCGTTACAAAAATAGTCTTTTAATTTGTTGTGTTTAATAATCTTCGGAAATGACTTACTACATGAGCACAACCTCTGCTATTAAATTTATGTTTTCAAATGTTTTAACATTACATTAAAAATAAATGTACATAACACATAATAATTACTGTAATTACCTTTCCTTCTTCATAAGAAATCCCCTGCTTTTTTGCTATATCTTCAGCTTGTTTGATGAATACTGACCAAAAAAAAAATTATTTCAACTTTAAGTTTTCGGTTAAAAATGTATTTTGTTTAAAAATAAGTCCAAATCAATATTTACTTAAAGGAAATTTTAAAATTCTTTGCTCATCACTTAAAAAGAAATAAACAATTAATTACATGGTGTTTCAACATATCCAGGGCACAAGGCTGTGCACGTTACACCGGTTCCAGCAGACTCAATAGCAATAGCCTGTAGGGAAACAAAGAAATTTTGTATGTCATATTATGTATGAAATCTTAAAAACTCAAATATGTGGATTTGCCTTAGTGGTCATTTTAGTCAATCCTCACTTTTGATTTCTTAGGTGCTGTGTGGTGTAATTTGTGACATAATTATTTCATTCGGTGAACCACAGCGACTTGAGAAACGGAGAAAACTAGAAAATGCATTCTCAACTGTTCCGTGCAACAACATCAGATTTCAACATACTTAATAGGATACAGCCTTTATATGAGACAGCCATTACAATCTATTTTTAGAACGCACAAAACAACTGTAAAATTTTTAATACCCTGTTTGGTTCCAACACTCCTCTTCCTTTTACCATATACAACTTGTGACAGTTATCATACTATAATATATATTATTAGCGGGAAATAGATTTAATGGATATTGATGTTTTTTTAACCAGCTTTTCCTAAATTATTAATATTAAGTTACTTGGTAGGTTTTTTAAACAATGTCATAATTTGTTAATTAATTCTTATTTCAATAAATTTTATTTTATGCTTTTATCATCTGACTTTAAGATTGAACCACATTAAATTTCACCAGTAACTTTATTTTTACAAGTGACACTGTGATAATGTGATCCCTCTGTGCACTAAATATCAGTTAATATCTATAGCAAATACATGTCTGCAAAAAAAAAGTGACAGCAGATTGCAATATAAACATCGATCATCTACTTTAAGAAGATACCATTTTTTACGAAAGCTTAACTCGATCCCACTTGACACATGATGCGAGTAGTTATTGTCTACATTATATATACCCAGTACTGTATGTTTATTTATTTACCATTAAGATACTGGATTGTACGATTTTTAGACAATATTGTATAATATGAGTTTGAGGGTAAACAGGTCTGCATAAGACATTAAAATATATAAAACAATATTAAAACCTCAAAAAAGCCCCAAAAAAATAGTTCACCTTTGTTAGTCCAACAATGCCATGCTTGATGGCAACATAGGCTGTCTTGTTAGGGGAGGCAACATGACCATGTGCGGAAGCTATATTGATAATCCTTCCCCAACCTTTACAAAAACAAAACGATGAAATTCTGATCAGCTTAAATCTAGTTGCCCAAACTATTTCATGTCACATGTGAATGGAATAGATAAAAAAATATATTATCAATAAGACATAAACTCAGGTCTGTCTGTGGTGTAAAGAAATATTTGTTAATTTGTTGGAATTGAGTTACTCTTAAAACATACCTTTCTGCTTCATATTTCCAACACAGAGCTTTGAGAGATGAAAAGGAGCAGTCAACATGAGAGCTGTCATTTTGTTGAAGACATCCAATGGAAAATTTTCCAGTGGAGACACATTTTGAAAGCCTGGATTATTTAGTAATAAAAAAGGTAACATTTTACTTAATATTTTTTTAAATATAATTTTGTTGTTTCTCTTGTTCAGTTATATTATTGATGACAAAAAGATGCTTTTAAAAAAATTCAGCAGTTCATGTGTTGAAGTTCTTAGCACTGGCTCAACAAATGAAAATTTAAATCCAGTCCATATGCTGGCACCCCAACACATGATAAATAATTTCAATCAATATTAATAATTAAATCATTTGCTTATCTTTTTTTATAGTACATGAAGTTTTAATGGGAGCTAATGTGCTTGTTTCAAAATAGTTTCACATAATAAGCGGAGTTGTCTATCTTTCTATTTGTTACTAATGCTCATAAAGAGTAAACAGAGTAATGAGTGCAAGACATTTGAACTTGAACTCTTTTTTTTCAAATCGGACTAAAAACATTTAAAATTCATATCAAACATGAATGATTGCCAACAAAATAATGATACAGAATACAGAGAGGAGTACTTTTGTATTTCTTTCCCATTTTTAAAAAAAAATGTTGATATGTGTATGTGATATATTTTTTTAAATTAAGGATGTTTACCATATATTAAAAACGCAAAAAGTCAAATGTACACACCCTCACCCCTGTTGCATGCATACCTTTTTGGAAAGCCACATCTGCATATGTACAAGTTAGTAGCTTTTGAAACACACCAAGAAAACCAACAAAATTAATTTATTTATAGACAATTATAACATCACATTAAAAAAAATATGCCATGGGTTTTCTGTTGTTTTGCGTTGCTCAGTGGTTCCCTAAATGTGTGCCATGTTGCCCTGGGGAGTCACAGCTTCCTCATTGGGGTGCCAAGAATTATTACACAATTTCCATAATTTTATATCCACTTTCAATCTTATGTGACCTTTAGTTGATCTGATGCAGAACAGTAACTCACTAGAGTAATTACTGTCTGCAGTTGGTCCTAAATGCACTATATAAGTATATGTTTTTTTTTACTTTTACCCAACCCTGTAATTTAAAAAAATATGCTATTTCTAAGTGTATTTGTTGGAACTCGACTTGACATAGGGTGCCTGGTGAGAACATAAATTTTACAAGGACTCTGGGAATCAAAAGATTTTAGGAACCTACTCGCATTGCTGAACAATATACAACACTATAATAAATATTCTAAATACAAATACTGGTTTAGCCTTATAATTATCCTTAGTGTGATTATTTGATTTGGATTCTAAACAGACTAAAATATGAAAATTGGTTTTGAAAAACTAATTCTCTAAAACTGAAAATACAAAGATTGGTTTTGTCTTGTAAAATACGCTAAAATATGATTTATGAATATTTATTTCAACTAATAATTAACCACTAAAATATGAATTTACACAAAATAATAACTGAGCACATTTTCCCCCACTCCAAAAAACGATTTTAATTATTCTACAACACTTCAAAATTAATGAGCCAATTTGCAAACATGAAGTACCGGTAAGCTTAAGTTATTAGTTTGTTTTGAAATATAACACTTCAATAATTTATCTTTTTAATTATAAATGGTATCCAACTATCATTGGAAAAAATGTTAGTGCATTTTATGCATCTGTAACTTAATGTTTAGTAGTTAGCATTTGCTACAACTTACTACAAGAATAATAAAATCTTCAGTATCTTGCTAAGAAATTCTTACCAGCATTGTTGACCAAAATGTCAATCCCTCCAGGAAATTTAGACAAAGCATGATTATGCAATGCTTTTACATCTTCTTCTTTGGATAAATCGCCCCCAATAAATGTAGCATCAACATTATAGTCTCTGCAAAAAAACAACAACAAAAACTTAGACTTTAGGGCTCTTTTTTTCTTTTAATTCAAAACATTTTATTCACTTTTTTCATTGATCTTTCACCGAGCCTTGAGCACAGGCCATCTACATCTTGGTCCTGTGCTTTCCTTTTCGGTGGGCTCCTGTTGTATCCAATCCCTTTTCAGGGAAGCATAAACAACAGATTTTAATCCCAAACTAAGTTTGTTGCTGTCTTGTTTGTTTCTTCTTCTTAAACTGGTTGTCTTGCTTAGCTGACAAGTTTATTCCAACTAACCCTTAACTGCTGGCAACTTGATACTTTATACAAACTTTTTAATATGACAGAAAACATTAATATCCATTTGAATAATACATATATATATATGTCCTTATGATTATAAGACTAAACAAAATTTGAAATATCTGCTACAAATGTAATTATGACTAAGATAATTACTTTTTAACAGAAGCCACTAGTTTATTGATCTGTTCTTCATCACCAAAGCCATTGAAAACAATGTTGGCCCCTCTGCTGGCTAAGCAACGTGCAACACCCTCACCTATTCCACTAGTTGATCCAGTTATGAGGGCTACACGGCCTGATAGAAAACCTGCATAATAAAAAAAAAAGTAATTAGAGAAACGTCCAATTCATAATTTATCAACACAAAACATGTTTTCATGTATAAACACCGGTACTCTTGATAACCGCAGAGCTAAAGAAATTTAAAGTATTTAATTATAATAAAAACACACTATATAATTTCCTCTGGAAGCTCATATTGACAAACACTGTCACTTCATAAGGCTAGAAGAAATCTGGTTTTGAGGGCTACTCTTAAGTTCAGAGTCTAACTGTAAAAGAGGGTGCTTAATAGCTCAAAGTCTGATTTCTTTGCCCAAGTTCAAAGTCTGATATCCCAATACATAAAATAACTGAAGGGCTAGTGCCATGATAGTGATATCAGGAATTTCTAATCTTAAGCCAGTGTTGGTGATCCATGGTCCAGTTTTTAAGCGAATCATGCTAGCTGAGGATTCTTGCAATGTATACTGGGATACTTTTTGTTTTAAATAAATGCTAAACATAAAATGCGGATTTAAAATGTAATGCTGCACATAGTGACATAGGATGGTGTACAATGTAATTTTAATCTTGCAGTTTATATTTTGTTATAAGGCAAGGTTAGCCTTCAGTTATAAGTTATACTGATACACTGATAGTGATAGATAACTGGCCTCAATTCTAATTTATGAATAAAATTATAGAAAAAATTATACTCATGGTGACATTTGATAATATAGAATATACATTCTGCATTTTTTTAAAATGTTTATGATCAGGGTTACCTCCACTTATTTAGTAAGGGTTGACATTCTCTTTTATTGTAAATTTATGCAGATAAAAATCAGAGCTGAATAATGATTAGAGACTGGGGTATGGTGTGTGCCTTTACTATTGTTGTATTGTGAATAATCAATGCTAATTTTTTCCAAATTGCCTAAAGGCTAAAAAGGTTGTTTTTTTCTCTCTTGATTTTGGGAGGGGGAAAGATAGCATAGCCTATCTTCCACTTCTGTGTTTTAGTTAATGACACATGATAACCTAAAGTTTAAACACAACTATATAATACTAGTAGTAGTAGTAGCCTTACTATGTCTAAGCTACTAACTAAGCTTATAACTACTATAATTTGTAACATTAACTTATTAACTGTACTGTCTTTACATTACTATTATTGATAATGTAATCATCTATAGTCTCTCTATACTCTATTGACTTTATAGTAATAAGCCAGGCCATGCTAATTCACAGTTGCTAATACTAATAAAGATTATAATAAAAAAAATAAAAAAAATATAGTGTCTATATAGTTAGTCTTTAAAATTCCAGTTGCAAAATAAATACTAGGCATAATGCTAACTTTCCTAAGCTGGAGCACTATTCAAAATGAAAGTTTGGAATTGGAACTTTTTGAGTCTACACTGTACACCTGACACCCACATTCATTTAAGTCATTAGGATGACAATTCAATTATGATGAGTTTTTAATTTTATAAATAATAAAATGATATAATGTGTACTATTATTGGCAGATTTTTATCATGTTTATTAGTTAAATTACTAAAACAAATAATTAATAAATATAAAAAGACAAGATAGGAAGGTCATGTTTAATGATTTAAATGATTAATAATATTAATAAGTATAAGTATAATTTACTATAACTATAATTTAAAAATAATTATAAAATAAGTAATGTTTCGTTTTTTGTTTTTTTTTTGGTTAAAACATAATCGCCACATCAACCATACTTGCATTTAAAAAAATCATATAATATATAATGATTTGATTACCTAACATTTTACGATATTTAAGTTGTCACCGGGTTTTCTTTAGAACCTCTACCGTAGTGTAATATCGTTGATAATATAGGCTAAATGACGTTCTTGGTATGTAAAGGCCAAATGAGACATCTATTTACAGCCACTTCCGTTATTGAAAGAAAATGACGAAATTTGGAATAATTTTATGTGATGTAAAAAAATAATGTTTGGAAATTTGTATAAACGAAATAAATAACTATTTAATTCTAATTGTAGAAATGGATAAACCAGTTTAATTGTTTAATTAAACTGTGTGAGTGAACGTGCTTATCAGTGTATTGAAAGTATTGGGCTAAAAACCATTTTGAAACGATCGTAAGCTTTTATTGTATCAATCTGATGTGTGAAATTAAATTATTTTATTTTTTTCAGGAAGCAATTCTTAAATCTCTTATTTCGTTATATTTCGTGTAAATAGTCAATCAATTCAAATAAATACGTTTTATGTGACTCGATTTTAAAATAAAATTTAAAAGACTGAATTATATCTGCCTATTAATGCTCCAACCTGCGACACCTACGTTAACTTAATAAACAAGAGTAAGAAATATGTTAGTTAAATCAGGCAAATATTTCTCAGAATTCTTTTTTTTTACATTTACTAATATAAACTACCACAAATGACACACATAGCACTGAGTCAAAGTGGACCCCGACACGCAGCGCCGCCATTCGCACCCAGGTACCATTAGACTCGAGCTTAAATTTAAGCAGTCTGAGCCGAGTGCAGTTTTTTCGCACCTGGTCCGCGTATTTTAGGAAAATACCCGTCGATATGGAGTCCGGGTGTTAAAGTTAAAAATAGTTATCTTCTAATTTTTTCACGTGTTCCTCCTTATGGGGAGAAGTTAAAAAGTGCATGTCTAGAACCAGTACCGATCTTGAGGGCGTCAAAGTTAAAAGCTTCAAAACACTAATAACTTGATAATATAATCCCAACCCAATGGTTCTCAACCATTTTAGTGCCATGAACCCTGTGTAACATTTGCCAAGTTGTGGCCACCCACAAGCAGAATTGTACCTTGAAATTGAGAAAGATATGTTGAGAACGAGGGACATCTTTTTGTAAAAAGGTTTAGGTACCGTAATTTTGATCGGATGTGAAGGGAAGCAGAAATAAGGTGTTACAGAGAACTTGTTTACATCATATTTTCTCGTGCGTGCCCTCTAATTGACCCCGCATGAGACGCTGTGTTCACAAAGGGGTGTGGCTTAGGCCTTTTGAAGTAACTTGTTTACGCCGCCAACGAATTAAAAATAATTAATCTGTTCCAAATAGTATTTTGTAGAATGATTTAGATTTTCTAGAAGCTTATCGAAGGCAGGGCTTAGGCGTCGGTAGACCCACCTATATAAGGGATTGACAGGCACGGACGAGGAGAGACAGACGGAGATTTTTCACATAGATTTTCTTAACATTACGAGGCGTGTTTTATTCTTTGTGTATTTGTGTGCTCCTACTTATATGTGTTTATTCCGCATTATTTATTGGCATCATTATTTCTAATTGTATTAAGTGTGTACCGGTACGACATCTGCCATACTGTAAGTTGAAGATTGTAATTTTATTTTATTTTATAATGTAATTATCTTTAGACATAATAAATCTTAATTAATTGTGACTAGAAACTGTTTTGGGTCGTATCTTTAATAATTGTTGATTCTATGGTATCGTCCTTTGTTAGGCACTGTTTACATCGAGCCAAATTAAAATTAAAATAGGAGATTAATTTCTCCCAATACAAGTCAGTGCGTAACAAATCGGGTTGCTCGTCCCGGATATAGCGGACTCCATATTATTATTTTTCTCAAGACCCCAATTCTAACAAATTGGGGGCATCGTCCGCGATAACCGAATCCATATTTTATTCTCATTAGACCCCAATTTTAACAAATTGTGGGATTTTCCGAGGATAATTTTAATCCATAGTTTTAATACACCAATAATAAATTGAGCGTTTTTTCTGTGGATTTTGACAAACTGTTTACCTTAATACACTCAAACTAATTTGAGATCACGATACCATTTTACGACACCAACAACAGAGCTGGTTACAATTTTTTCATTAGTGTGTGCACTAAGCTTAAATTTTTATAAAAAAATCATTGTTATATTTTGCCTGTGTCAAAATGGATTTTGATATTGAAAACCCATCAGTAGTTGCATTAGACAAATGTTCTAGGAAGGAGCTATTTTCCATTGCTAAAGCTCTAGAAATAAATGTAGCTCATTCGGCCGTAAAAAAGACCATACGAGACATGATCATCGTTCACTTTGTGGATGAAGACATGTTATCTGAAGATGAACTTGCCTCAGTCACACAACCGACTGATCCAAGTATGGAGCTCCAACTAAAGCTCAAACAAATGGAACTAGATGCCCAGAGAGAAAAAGAACGAGAGCTTAAACAGCTGGAGCTAAATAAAGAACGTGAGCTGAAACAGCTGGAGCTTGAAGCTCAGAGAGAGAAAGAAGAAAAAGAACGAGAGCTTAAACAGCTGGAGCTAAAAGCTCAGAGAGAGAAAGAAGAAAAAGATAGAGAGCTAACAATAAAGTTAAAACAAATGGAAATAACGGCCAATTTAGGAGCAATGGAAAATAGACTCACGGCTCCAGCCGGTCAGGGTTGCGATGCAATTAAATTTGCAAAAGTAATCCCTAAATTTTCAGAAAAAGAGGTTGACCAATATTTTGCGCAGTTTGAGATAACTGCCCAAAATTTTAAAATTCCTGAAACTATGTGGTCCACCTTACTTCAACCAGCCTTGACCGGAAGGGCATCTGAAGTCTTTGTGTCCCTGAATGCGGAACAGCGCGGGGACTATAACCTAGTAAAATCATTAATACTTAAGGCTTATGAATGTGTCCCCGAAGCATACCGTAAAAAGTTTAGGGAACTGTGGAAACGTGATGGCCAGACTCATGTTGAGTTCCTCCGGGAAAAGGAACGGCTCCTGGACAAGTGGCTGCACGCAACCAACACCGAGACAGACTTCAAGAAATTCAAGAACCTCATTCTGATGGAGGAGTTCAAGAACTGTGTTCGTACTGAGGTGCGAATACATATTGCAGACCGTGGCGAAGGTGACGCACATACGGCAGCAGTGTTAGCCGACGACTTCACCATCTCACATCAACTTTCCAAGAATCCATCTGACACCAAAAATGACAGGCACACTAAGACAGCTGTATCAACTTACAGTAAACCTCCACAAAAACCATTCAAGCCCGGTACGAAAGAAATTGGTGCAAAAGACACATGTGCCTACTGTAAAAAAGAAGGACATACGAGGGATGATTGCTGGAAACTCAAGAAGAAAACTGAGAAGACCACACATCCTGGTACACCACACAAAGTCTCCGCTTGTACGTCTCGTCATACATCTGGAAACACATTTTCAAAATTCAAGAGTTTTTGCTCTCCAGATGTCCATACAAACTTTAAAGAGGTTTGTCATGACTCATCAAAGAGTTCCATTATGAACAATAAGGCTAGTTTTACTGACTCCAGCCAAGTTCCTGCTTCGACTGCGAGTTTTATGAGCTTGTCGCCAAGATCCTTTTGCTCCAAGAAGAGGTCTACCTCCAGAGGGCGTTTTACTGAGGACTTGTGTGCAAGTTT